TGATGGCCGCTGTTGGTCTGGGCAGAAGGACAAGAGTTGAGTGCACATTCAGCAGAACCTGCAGCAGCAGCCAGTTCACCAAACCCACCGCAGGTCATGACTTCTTGCCTGCCAGTGCTCTACGTGCACCAGCTTCATTTCCCTGTGAAATTCCCACGTGCTCTCTCCTGGATACGTGCACGGTATTCCACATCTACATTATGTGCAAAAATATGTTAATGCTCATTTTTAATATGGTATTTACAAGCATAAAAAAAATAAACAAATCACAAAACCTCTAAGTATTTGAAGACTGCTGAAAGCATATTGGCAACTTGGTAGACTTCAGTAACCTGGAAGAGCTAATGTAAAATTTATGATAAAAAAAAAAAAAAAAAAAAAAAAAGTCAAACAGCAGAGCTAGGGGAACCAAACCAAAGAGGAATGAAAACAGAGACTGGAGGGCTACTACGAGTGGGTGGTCGCAGACCACAGCACAGCCATACCCTAACAGCAGCTTCAGCTCTTCCTGATGCAACAACTAAACTGGATACTCACTGAAGCAGTTTGAGGTAAGTAACTTAACTGGAGAAGTGCCAGAATAATTAAGGATTAAAGACATTCATCCCAGTGAAGGAAAAGTCAATGGAATAAAACTGGAGTTGATACAGGTGCTAGCAACGGGATAAAAAGAAAAACTGTTCTGTTCAGTAGAAAGTTACATCCCAAAATAAAATTTTAGTAGTCTTTATTTTACAGTACCAATATAGAAAATCAACTAAAATAATTATTGACACTGTTTTGTCACTTGGAGGACAAAAAAATATCAACTAGCACTTTTTTTTTTTCTGAGTAATAAATATTATTCTGCAAAATACCTTGTCTGTGCATAGTTATCTCAGTAACTACAGAAAATACAAAGGCAGTCAACAGCTTAACTTTTCCCATGCCTCTATCAGAACAATTGCTGAGTCCGAAAACATCTTCATACATGAGGTAGGAAAAGGACAACACTCCACAGTGCAAGTATTCTCTTGGAAAAGAACTAGACTGTTCTCATAAAAGTGGGAATGTTTAAGAGAAACTGTACAACAGCCTGATACGCTTTGTAAACACTGAAGAAGCACCGAGTCTTGTTTCTCTTTTGAAAAGATACCCAGTAAAGCCAGCTAAAGGACATTAACCTCATCCAGCTTCAGCTCCACTACTGCACCGCCTGAGCGTCCCTGAAGCCTGCCAGGTAATCCCCTGAATTCACAGGATACAGTCAACGTGAAAAGCGCTCTATTTTCCTGATTTAACAGCAGCCAGGATATGTCATGATAGGGAATTAAGAGAACAAAATGACCTAAAGAGAAACGGGGACTGCTGGGTAGGCAACCATTTCAGCAATTTCTGCTTGATCAAAATCCCACGTGGCACTCAGGCTCTGAGGGTACCTCAACAGCCAGCTACAAAACGTGCCCAATCATAATAGAATGGGAGCACGCTTTAACATCTTATATGACTGTAACATATTACATTTTATAAAATCCCATAAATCAATCCCTTACCGTCAGACAGCTTAAGTGCATTCTACAGTTTCTATTTCGCTGGACTGCTGAGATTGTTAGCTGCTTGATGCATAGCTAAGATCAATGCTAAGCCCTGCAATTTATGAAAAAATAATATTTGACATTTTCCATAATAATCCAGCTCTATGAAAGAATCTTTGCTCCTCCTAAGAAAAAAAAAAAAAGCCCACTTCTTTCATGTGTGATTGCAGACAAAAGTTTGCAGAAACCACAAAATGCAAGAGTTAGAAATAAGAGCCAAAACACATTTAAAGCATCATTACTTTGTCAATTTCTGACTTTGTCAAGGCCTTTACATCGCATTATCGCAGACTTAGTCTTACAGCTGAAATCAATACCTCAGAAGTGACTAAGCAAAACACAAAAGAATGGGGAACCAAGTTATGCATCCCATATTAAGCAAATAGCAAGCCTTAATCTCAATTGCCCTGAACGATACCATGAAACCAGCCTTAAGGTGGCATCCTTTAAAGGCTTAACATTTGGTCCAAGCTTTCCAAAACGCACGGCGATGTTTGTACTGGGTAGAAAACAGCTCTAACCAAAGTTTCAGCACCAGAACCACCTCATTATTGCTACCACCTCAGCCACAGCTCTGAGGCAGGCTGCCCTCGGCAAGGAATGCAAACTCCACGATATTTTTAAAGAGGGACTGGATGAGTTTTAAACACGGCCTCGCCACCACACATGCAATGAACCTCTGTGACAGCAGAGCTGAAGGACAAACCGCTGCTCACCCACAACAGTGAGCGCCGAGGACGAGGCCTGTCCCAGGGGCTGCTGTGGGGTCCCGTGCGGCTGCCACCGCAATGCCCCACTGTGCTGTGCATCGCACCAACTATTTGTAAAGCCCATCGCAGTCAGCAGTCCCGACTGCGAACCGCATCCACACCGCTCGTCACCACCCCCTCCGAAACCCTCAGCGATGCGAACCGAGCAGCTCAAAGCCTTCCTGCTCCCACAGAGCTGGGTTTCGCCCTGTGCACAGCCTACCCCTCCTCCCAGCCAGGACAGGGCAACCACGCACCCAGCGCTGTGCATCGCTGGGCTTCTTACACTAGGTACAGCACAGGCAGCATTTTACGTTATATTCAGCTTCAGACTGTCACCAGCCTCACAGCACAGGAACCGAGACCTTGCTTTAGGAGCAAAAGCCGAGCTTGTCTCCCCACAGCCCCGACACCCGAGGTGCAGCCCGGCTGTGCCCCCACCCCGCCGCAGGGGCTGCACGCACCCGGCCCCCCGCCCCGCGCCCTGTGAGCCGCGAGCAAACGGCACCGGGCTTCACCCGCTCCCCGTTAACAGGAAAATAATAAATAAATAAATAAATAAATAAATAAATAAATAAATAAATAAATAAGAACGCAAAGTTTAATAAAATAGCCCGGAACGGGTACTTACGCCGGCGCGCAGTCGCCACTTCCCACCCCGCGCTCTCAAGGCTCGGTTGCGCCCTCAGGACAAGCCCGAGCCCGAGCCCGAGCCGAGCCGCGCTGCAGCCGCACTTGCCGCCGGCTCCCTTGTGTGGAAGCCCGGGCTGGGCTCGGTTCAGCTCGCCGCCCCGTCCCGTCCCGTCCCGTCCCGTCTCCCGTCCCCCCGCACCCAGCCGCACCTGCCCTGCCGCAGCCCCGCCGCGGGCCCCCCGCGCTGCGCTGCCCTCACCTGGCGCCGGGCCGCCCCTGGGCGGTGCTCCGGGGAACGGGACGGGGGGGACCCGGCAGGGACCCGGCAGGGACGCGGCCGCCTAAGGGCCGGCTGGAGGCGCAGGTGGCCGAGCCGCCGCCGCCGCCGCCTGGCCCGGGCTCAGCGCTTACCCCCGGGCAGCGGCGGGGCGGGACGGGAGCGGCCGCCTCCCCCCGGCAGGGCCCCTGCCTCGCCTGGCCCGGCCCGGCCCGGCCGTGCTCCCTCCCGCCCAGGCATTGCTGCTGCCAGGCCCCGGCGTGCCCCGAGCTCCCCGTCCCACACGTGGAAAGCGCAGGGTGTCCTGCAGGAGTAGCCGCGGGCCTGAGGGCACCGTCACGTTGTGCAGCCGAGCCCAGAGGCCCAGCATGGGGCTGCCTCGGTTTTCCTGGCAGGTGGAAGGTGTGTGGTGCCGCACCTGCGCTGCTCGGGGTGCAGAGAATCGGAATATCCCAAGCTGGAAGGGTCACACAAGGATCAAAGAGTCCAACACCTGGCTCCACACAGGACCACCCAGACATTCAGACCATAAAATGGAGAGCACAGTCCAATCGCTTCTTAAACTCCAACAGGCTCGGTGCCGTGACTCCATCCCTGGGGAGCCTGTTCCAGTGTGCAACAACCTCCTCGGCGAAGAGCCTCTTCCTGGTGTCCAGCCTGAACCTCCCCTGTCACAGCCTGACACCATTTCCTGGGGTCTGTCGCTGGTCACCAGAGAGGAGAGATCGGTGTGCAGAGTAGGTTACAAAAAGCCCATGGGCTCCATAAGTGCTACGACTTCAACTTCTGCCTTTACACACCTCGTCCTTGGTGTTGCTGACACTTCTGTGTGCTTAACCTCCCGGATCCGAGTGGTAGCCAGAGCCTCTGCATCCTTCCAGCGGGTGTCCTCCTGGGACTGCATCAGTCAAAATAACTCCTGTGATGGCCTGGGACTGAAAAACCCAGTGGAAGAGGGAAGGAGAGAGAGGCCACGTCTGACAGAGCAGCTCAGGGAGTCCAGGGAAAGGAGTGTTGTGTCTAAAGGCCACCCTGAGTGAAAAGTTGCTCTTTTATCAGAAATGACACTGTTGCTGTGAAGGACCTTGACTGGACAAACAAATCCTTCCCCCAGGGCTAATAACACCACCTGTTCCCCTTGTGCCCTGCAGGTTTCAGTGAGGACAACACAGCCCTGACCCCATGGAGCTGCTTCTAGGGATTTGGCACAAAAGTGGCACCTGCAACCAGTTCTGTCCATAACTGGAGGAACAGAGGGAAAATCTTTTACTCATCTTTACAAAGCCCCAGAAGATAAGTTCTGCTATGTAATGTCCCGGCTGGAAGAGCTTTCTAGTGCCAGTAAGGCTGGAGATGCTTACACGACGTGTCTGGTGCATGGTGCCATACAGCCCCGGGGCTCGTGGTGTGCCCATATGGGAGTCTGTGTACAGTACAGATCTGGTGACTCCATAGGAAATGCTTTCTTGATGTCACACTAATTCCCTGACCTCCCCTCCACCCTCCGCTACTATATACAGTTGCTGGCTATTTATATATGATGAATATGATTCAGAATTACACATGCCAGAAAGACACTGAATCTTTCAACCTAATAATTAAAAAAAGGGATATAGCATGATTGCTTTGTTCCATCACCACATGAAAGAGAACTATTTATTTTTGTTGTGGTTAGCTTAGTAGTAACAAACAAAATATTTTATTCCTATCCATGAGGAGCAATCTTGCCCATCTTTATGGGCTTCGTCCAAAGTGTGCTGGAGTCAGTAGCAGTATGCATGGGCTCGGAATGGGCATGTGACTGCAGATCTAGAGAGCTGGATCAGAGCAAAAGTGCTGCCAGACTACAGGGCTGAGCGTTGTACAAGACTTTGACACCCTGAGAGGGAATAATGCCTATCTTTAAGCGGGGTCCGTGCAGCGCTTCAGATCTTGGAAGGCAAACCCTCTGGTATTGCAGCTGAAGCACTCTGTCAGGAGGCTGTTGCTGTGGCTGGACGTGTGGAGCAAGGAACATCGTGAGATTTTTGTGGTGTCATTAGATTACTGCTCATGTGAAATTGAGTGATGGATAGTTTACATAGTCAGCCTTTTAGCAAAGTTCACCGGCATGGCTCCAACTGTATGTATCGAGGCTAATCTCAATTACAACTTGAAAATGCCTCTGTCTTTGTCACCGCAGGGATGGTCTGGAAAGTATCGACTGATTGCTACAGCTGAAAGCTTGTCATGTTGATCTTTATCCCACCAAAGATCACAGTGCACTCAGTGTACCATGCAACTGTTCCACCCTGATGGCTTTCATTTTTCCTGGTTTTGCTGTTTGTCTAGGCCTTTCATACGATAGTAATCAAGGAAAAAAAAATGTATTAAAAAACAAGTATGAGGCTTGGATTGTTTTAAACTGAGATAATAATGAGGGAATTTGGGAACAGTTGTACTGGCATTCCTTTAAAATCTTCCCACCTTCAACTTGGCTGGAATTCAGGTAGACGATGATAGTAGAAATCAATACACAGAGGAAAAGTTTGTCAGATTCAATCAAGGAAGATTTCAAAAAAATGGCCAAGGATTCTCAATGCAAGGAAGAAGAAGAAACCAGCAAGGCCACTGAGGTCTGCATAATATACTTTTTTTTTTTTTTTTTTTTTTTTTTTTTTTTGCATTGTTTGCTCTTGAAGGTCTCTTTCCTGAGATACTACACAAAAACTGTCAGAAAACAGTTGTTCTGATCAAAACCTTGTGACAGCCCTTCTGTTGTTAAGTAGCCATGAAATGACTTTTGCCTCTCTTTTTTATTTTTCCTCCTCGGTTCTTCTGGTCCTTTTTTTTCTTCATAAATATATGAAGAAGAATGAAGTGTTATGTTTCTTAATGTTGAAAAAGGAGGGAAAGGAAAGAAGAGGTAAGAAAGGGCAAAAAACTTACTAAAGGAAGAGAAATGGAGCATGGATGGTAGGGGGGAAGGCACCCAGGACTACGAAGAGGAATAAAGCATGGGAAAGAATTAGAGAGACCAGAGGAAGGTGTGAAAAAGGGCATAGGCTGTGTATCAATAGATGGGAATGGGCAGAAATGGAGTGACAGACAGTTTTGCATACCCTTGTCAAAAGGAGTTAGTCAAGACTAGGCTCCACAAGTGCCTCTGAAAGGACTGGGAAGAAAAACTCTGCTGACATGGGTGCATGACAGTCTTTAATAATAGATATGATTGCAGCAGGTGTAAATACACTGAAATGGTACCAGGTAACTTGAGTATCAATAGCAGTAAAAATGCAGCAGCACAGGATGGCCAAGTCTGTGTCCTGTTGGTATCCAGGGTAATGGATGGTTTGGGATATGTTATTAGGGAGCTCACTTGGTTTCTGCTCCTGGCTCTTAATGCTTGACTGCTGTGTGCTTTAATACTCTATGGTAATCGGCTATAAAAGCAGTCTTGTAACAGGGATTGAAATTCAAATTTCTCTGCTCCCAGCCATGTACCTTAATTGCTGCATTGCAAAATGATGCTTTGCTCCCCTGGCCCAATGAATGTGGATTAGTTTGTCTCAGAATAACAGCTTTTCAGCCGGCACAATGAAAGGCATTCCTCTCACCTAGCCTCTGGCCTGGTGACAAAGGGAATTCCCTGGGACATGAGAGATAGGGATTCAGTGTCATCCTCAGGACTCTCCGTGTTTCTAAGCTCTACCTGCTGAGCTGCTAAGAGAGTCCCTCTCCTTCCTGCCAGCATGCTTTTGAAAGACTCCAAAGTCGAAGGGCAGACCCTGCTCCAGCATAACGCAAGAACTGATTGCGTTAGATGCCAGGAAGGCTGTAGTTGCAGCATCAGGAGCTGGCAGCTCAGGTGCTTCTCACACTCTGCTAAAGATTCTGGTCCAAGGTATGGACACTTCTGGCGTGGTGCGAGGATGTGGGAGTGCCTGGCTCAGAGCTATGGGCTAGGAAACTGGTGCCAGAACATGGGGTTCCTGACTGTTCTCCAACAGCGAGTCCTGTTGTACATGTAGTCTGGGATAAGTCTTATCTCAGCTGTGTTTGGGAGAGCATTGTGCTGTGGATTTGTTCCTCTTCAGCGGTATGCTCACTGGTAATTCGCGGCATGGCGAGGCTGACTTCTGGCAGATAAGATTCCAGCGGGCGGGCAGTGAATGTCCTCTGTTCTGATTTCTTTTTTTTTTTTTTTTTTTTTTTTTTTGAGGTGGGGAGAGGGCCAGTGGAGACATGTAATGAATGGCGATAACTGCATTTAAGTTCTTTGGCAAGCGGTAAGTACTGTTCCCCTTTGTTTGCCCATGCAGACTACATTTAAAGTGCTGCTTAATATAAAGCAAACCTTTCTGGAGGCCAGTGCTAATTTTGGTTGAAGAAAAGTATAGCACCACAGCTGAAAGTCTTCATTATCTTCTGAGGCTCAATTACTAATGAGCATTCTTTAATTTTTGTTACCACACACTTCACGTTCATATGACTTCTTTTCCGCCCAAGGCCTGTTTGAGTAAAATTGTGTACTTCCTGCTTTGACAACACACTAATGATGCTCATTAAAAGAAAATCATTAGGAGTAGCCCTCCTGAAAATGTTGAAAATGTTGTTGGATGGTAATTTGGGCTCAATCCTGTAATCTTAGCAGGTGATTTTACCTGTAATGGCTACAAGTAAAGTCATTCTCTGTAAGAATCTTTGGTATTTCTCACCCATGCTTCAGAAAATAGTCAGACTGTAGGCACACCCACAAAAAGTTCTGGTGAACAGATCACGGATCTCTGCCCTAAATTAATCCCTTAAGTAAAAATTTTCTTCATATGGTTTCACCAAAACAGAGCTATACCTACAAGCAGCATTGGTGGAGAACTAGAAAATATTGTTAAAGCTTTAAACATTAAACTAATTGGAGTTCACTTGATTCCCTAATGTAATAAAACTCTTCCTTTCCCAGGCCATTATCAGTCAGACAACCCCCTGCATTGTATGTGTTATTAATAATTTATTCCTTCCATTATTTCCAAATGCACATTAAAGAATTGGCTCATGGCTTCTAGCACAATTCTGAAGCACAACTCTGTAATTTTTGGAAATGTTGTCTCAGGGCAAATAAATTAATAAGGAAAAGGGTAAATTTTATCTTCTGTGGAGTTAAGATAACAGTTTAACTACTTTATTCCTATGAGTATTTTGAGAAATCTAGATGGGAGTTGTTTTCTTCTTCCTGATACTAATGATTGAATTTGTATATTATAGACTATTTTAATTACTTTTCTACTTTTTTTTTTCTAGTTAGAAACAAATGACTATTTTTCTCCCTTGCTTCTTTGGTGTCATAATCGTGAGCTTGTATAGCCTCATGGAGAATGATGTACTACTTTGTACCTGCCGTTGTTACCCCTTGATATTTTCCAGATATTCTATTTCTAAGCCAACTTTTATATAAGCAAATTTATGCAAAAATACCAGATATGGCTATTTGTCTATTCTGCTTGGGAAAAAAAAAAAAAAAAGATTATATAGTGAACTGGAGAGCCCAGCAAAGTGATCCTCATAGCGGTATTTTCAATGCATATGAGTGCAATTAAGGCAACAGAAAGGGTTATGACAAAAATGGGGGTGGCTAAACTTTGCAAAAGCGTGATGGATGGAAGGGTGGCTACTAGGAAAGGTTAAATCATGGAGTATATGCAGAAGAAGTTTGTGAGATTCATATACTGACAGAATATGAAGATTTGCAGTCATACTTGCCCAGTTCCTAAGAGACCAGCGATCTTTGTAGACGTCAAGAAATGATTGAACACAAAGGAAATTAAGAATCCTGGTTTTCAGCCACGTTGAACTGGAGTTGATTGTTAAGTTACTATGAGGGCACTAGCTCAATGAAATGACTCTGACCAAGTAGAGATGTGTGAAAAAAGTGCCTGGAGATGGTAGCTGGATCTCTTTGCAGGTGGGACTGTTTGCTGTGACAAAGATAAGACGGCTGACAACAAATTCCTGTGGGAACCACTGCAAGTTAGAGGAGAAATGGAGGAACTCTCCTAACCAGTTTCTGGTGGAGGCATTTGAGAAATAAGAGGAGTGGGAGATGATCTAACTCTTAGAAACAGTAAACAAGGAGCAGAGAAGTTAGTTTGGAGTGCAGAGTGACAAGCAGCCAGCACCACGTATTGTTACTTTTTTCTGTCATTGATCATTCCTTTGTGTTTCTGTTATTGTTTCTTTGTTTCTCCATTTAAATAAAACACCTTTTCTTCCAGAAGTCCTCCTTAAGATCTTTCTGTTCAAGGAACCTGTCTGTGGGAAAGCAAATGACGTAGAAAGCAAGGTGAAGATAAAATTCCAGGAATACACTTGCGCAGACCTACCTGAAACTGCTTCTTGCCAGGAGCCGGTGTTCCCAGCCTCTGAGGGCAATGCCTCTGCACCAGTTCTGAGATACACTTGCCTTCAGCTCTATGAACAGGGGTTAACAGGGGGCTGTAGAAGAATTATTTGTGCTGAGACATTTTTTAATAAAAGCTATTAAAAAGATTACACAACCTGCTTATTTTCCTAGTTTTCAGTTGTTTGATCACTAGCTCAGTATGGATTTAATGTTTTGAAGAAACAATTCCATTCTTATCCATAGCAAGTCAGCTGTTTATATGGTGCTGAAAATTACTTGCTTTGGTGACTTTCCTATGATTAAGAAACAAATATTGCTATTGCAGCATCTCCCTGGTGTGAGGCTTGGAAGTGAGATTTAGGTTAGCAGGGTTTAGCAAGTATCCTTTGCACTGTGGCAACTGTGGACATGGGGATGAACAGGCTCTTAGCCTGCAGCAAAGATGTGGTGACGTGACTTGTTCTGACAGGAGGGAAGGCTAAGCTAACTTGCCCATTTTGCCTATAGCAAAACCAAAGCAATACATGCTGACAATTTCTGCAGGTCAGCTGAGGCATGAGCTGTTAATATGCACTAACTTGACGGTACCTCTGAGCTCACAAGACAGTTCAGTGTGCCACACACACGTCTCTTTGCTTAAGCCCTGCTCTATCAGCAGTGGGATTCTTCTTGTCTTTTTTTCTTCTCTTTTGTCTTCTGTGGGTTTCAGATCTCTATGTATGCAAATATGTGTTGCATTAGACACACAACTCCTTAATATTGCCAGTTCTGCCAAGATTCATGCTAGCTGGAATAGTCCTATTTAGAATTATTTACACTGTATGTAACAGGGCAGAAACAACAGAGTAACGGGAGTAACTGTCATAAAAGTCGTTAATTAAAAATAGAGACTTGCCCCAACAAAATAGAGAGCAAAAGCTTGAAACCAGTTCTATGGGGATATCTAACAAAATATCCCCACTTGAGCCTGAATGAGAGAGGAGGCAACAGAACAACTCTGCGAGGAAGCTGCACTACAGCAGCTTTTGGCAGGATTCTGCACTACTTGCTCAAAAGGGATCTGTTAAAGGTGAAAAGCCTGACAACTGGAGAATAAAAACCTTTCCTCTTCTCTTTCCCCACCCTCTCTAACATGGATGGATGAATTCTGGTGTTAACGAAGGGACAGCATGTGCTTTTGATTTTGTGAGGGAAACTGAATGCTGGTCTGGATGTATGAAAGGTTGCTGTATATACAATAAAAGATTGGGGGAAAATGAGCAAAGAAAACACAAAATAAGCCTTTTGTGGATGTCATTTTTAAGAAATGGTATGCATCCAATGGGAGCAAGAAAATAAATGTAATTTTAAGATTTTTTCTTTCCTGGGTAGTAAGACAAGCCAAAAGAAGAAAATGAGAAAATCCGTATGGATGGAATCTAGAGTGAAAATAATCCAATGGGAGAAAAAAATACTTTTTTAATTTTTATTTTTAATTTGCACTTATTATGTTTTAGTCCATGTTTTTCCTACAGCATGGATCACTTAGAGGTCTTATGTGAATTCATGTCTGAAACAATCCCTAGTTTCCTTAGAACAGGTTTGATGAAGTATTATTTTTGCTCCACATTTCAATACTCATTCTAACTAACCAAAGAAGTGTCGCTTGGGAAAAAAACAAAGCCTACCAACTAACCAAACAAAAACCACCTTAATTGCAACAGCCTGGAAGACTGTTGCTCTTGGTGTGGTTTTAATGGCTGGACAGGCCTTACATTAAAAAAAATTTAGTCCTGTCTAGGATTTCCCTTCAAACCACTTGACCTTCCAAAATGGGCAAGGCTTACTGCTGAATCAGGTACATCTGAAACAGAGAAGAATATTATCTTGTTGGAAAACTGCAGGTGAATGAGAAAGGTATTGCATGTGTTATGTTTGTACAGCACTCTTCACCCGAGATACAGTAGGATTTCACTATGAAATTGTGGTATTGGTATTTCATACCATTAAGACAGCGCAAATAAACAAAGTTTAAAATAAACTAGATAAATTTTGAAGTAATATTTTAGGCATATGTTATTTTTGTCTATTGTGCTGATTCAGGGATTAATTGGAAGTATAATGAACTGTAACAAAAGAAAAGTCTAACATGAAGTTACAAAACATTACATTGTCTGGGCAGTCTATTTCTTTGTTTTCACTTCAGTTCCTTTTTCTGATAGCCCAGTAGTCCTGGACAGTAGGAGGAAAAGATAAGTTGTAGTAGGAATGAAATGTTAGTTTAGGCATGACTAACTACTTGTTTTCCCTTAGCTGAACTTAAGGCTAGCATGTAGGTCAGCCACCAGGATGCCAGATATCAGAATCTTCTGAAGGCAGAAGTCAGTTTACTTGCAAAAGGGATTACACAAACATGCACGTTTTCTGTTGTGACGGGCTTCTGAGTCACAGCTGGAATGTGCAGTGGAGAAGTACTCATCCCTGCTGTCCCACATGGCGCCCTCCTTAACCACAATCCCTTGCTCAGCCTCCTATTAGTGGGTATTTGTTAGTTTTTGTACTTTTCCACAGTCTGAAATGAACTCCGGAGCAACAAACAGCATTTTCTAAGCCCCTATGTGCTACTAGAATTCTCTAAGGAATCCTTGTTTGTATGGCTTTTTTTCGTACTTTGTGTATCATAGGAGACAGACTCTGAAATACCACACCGTGCACATCGACTTCTGCTTCTGGATTTCATTTGCCATTTACAGTGAGCAGCCTGCAATGCGCTTTAAATGGCTGTACCAGGCACCACTCACATTAAGGGTCACCGATCTCCTCTCTCCGTGCATACTGATATAATGGATGGTGGTGCCAGCTTCAGCTGATTACTTCCTGCTCTCTAGTTCTGCTGTCTCCGTGGAAGCTGAAGCTGCAGACTTCCTTAATTAATCATACTGGTCTGGAAATTGAAGACAATAAGGCCTAAGTACAGTGGAGCCTTCTGCTATAGTCAGCACTTTTTTGCTTTAAATACATGGTTTGGATGCAAGCTATCAGTGGTAATTTTCAGGGAGAACTCTGGGCATTTTAAATATACCCTGAAATACTTGCACACTACACCTTTTCCCAGAGGCTGAGTTCTTCTTTCCACAAAGAGCTTCCCAAACTGAGGCATTCTGCTGCCTTAAAGCAGAATGCACAAAACTCTTAACAATCTGTATTGTATATCATCAAGGAAATGCTGCTAGCAAGGTTTTATCCAAGTGAAAAACCTGAGGATTCCTGATCATCACAAGGATCAGACATAACTAGTAGCCTAACCTAGTAACAGGACTAAACCTAGTCCTTGAATTACATGTTTCTTCAGGAGGTTTCAAGGTGCTCTGTAAAACAGCCGAACGGTATTTTTCTCCTGTATGAGGAGAGATTATCAAAGGGCTCAGTGACTTGCTATGTGGTACAACAAAAATCAGAGATGGTGGGGACAAACATTCAGTCTCACTCTCATAACTGCATTTTGAATTTTAGGTTTCATTTCTTCATTTCATGCATTTAGTGTCTTTTTTTTTTTCTTCTTTATAGTGAGAAAGTGACATCAATGGATCAGAATGGTTCCATTTCTTTCCTCTGCCTTCCAAAATGTGTACGTCCCAGAGAAGGGGTTTTAATTTTGGTAAGATGTTCTCCTCCCACTTTGGTGGGCTCCTCGATGGTAAAATAGACAGTGAAATAACATGGTACTTGCAGTATTTTTTTTTCCTTCAGACAATAATACAGTGTTTGCTGAAAACACTTATTTTTGTCAAATGATCTAAGAAACACATTTCTCACTGAAGATTTATGTCACAACATTTCCAAGAGGCAGTCTGCTGAAACTTGTTTTAGTGATTAAGTATAAATACAGCCGAATGAAGGCTTTCTCTCATATCACATCGGAGTTGCTTGCATTTAAATTAGTGGGTCAGCAAGGCAGGACACTGGAACCTTTTCTTAGCAGCTGACTTCTCTCGAGTCTCATTTTACATTTTTGGTTCCAACACTATTCAGCTGAAAGGAGATACTGTAGGTAAAATAAAGGAGGTGAATAACAGAGACAAGGCAGCTGCCAGACATCAGCTTCCACTGAGTTCTTCAAAAATATCAGTATTCTCACTGATAGTACAAAGAATCATAATGCAGCACGTTCCTTGTGAAACAGGTAGTCTTTTGTAGTCGCTAATAAGAGCTTTTCATAAGCAAAGTCTATGAAACAGAGTTCTCTTTTTTTTTTTTTTAATCTGTCTTAGATGAAGGGGATTACTATTGAGTAAGAAATAATGGCAAATGTCCATATAAATTGTATTTCACCTGCTGAAATCTTTGTGGTAGTGCTCTTCTCTAAGGAAGTCCATATCTTCCCTAAAATCACTTTGTGATGTAAAAAGACCTCATAAGTAAATTTGGTAATGCTGTTATTCCGTCAGGATGTTGGACAACCTGATGCTCATTCATTGGCCTTTAGTGATGGCATTCTTTGAAAAGCTGGAGATTGAAATTCCTCTTGAATTTTGTTTGCAAAGGTACAAATGACAGAGACCTTGTGCGATGTACATAGAGAACATATAGCCTGTTATAGCCTTATATACATCAACAAGTCAGAGATGTTATGATCCTTTCTTTTTAGCACTTTCCAGCTCTAGCTGGACATAAGTGAACATTTTTTTGTCTGGTAACATGGGAGAAGGTTGTTGATCATTGGTATATTATGAATTACAGAGCACGTACAAACTTACAGGGCTACGTTCCCTATAGAATGATGTATAATGAATATGTTTTACAGTTCTGTAATGAAAATAGTAGAATACTAGAAAGGGTTTGTTGTTAAAGCTGTGTTTTCTTTGGGATACAATGTAAATGATCTGCTGGAGGAGCAGATGACAGGTCTAATTCATCCCTAGTGTAACTTCACTGGACTCAGTTGATTTGCATGGGATTAGCTCTGTTCATTCTTTTGTAAAAAAAAATAAAAAATAATAAAGTTGAGGATTATGTGACTGGGAATGTGTCCAGTATGTCATGTTTTAATGTGTTTTCTTGTTAGTATCTTAAATATGAAACTGTTATGCCAGATTTAGAGGCTCAAGTGCTTTCATTTACCAGTTGGGGATTTAGAGAAAAATAAAGTCAAATTTAAAGCTATTGTCATGGACTGAAATATTATTTATTTTTTTTTTCCCACATTGTATAAACATTAAAAGGAAGCCCTTCCCTTCCTTCACTACCCTAGAACTTTTTGCTTGGACATTTTAAGTTACAAGAGACTTGTGTTCTTCCAGGTTTGATTTTTGTTTTTTTTTTTCTCTTCTTCTGTCCTGAGTCAGAGGGGCAGTGAAACCACCTCAGAAGCTGTTAAGTCTCTTATTAGGAAGAGGCAATAAGAGGAATAGATGAGACCTGTGCTGAGGTCTTTAATTAATCATGCTGCATAGCAGATGTAAAGAGGACTCAGTGGCAGAGGACTGGAGCAGTTTGAATGAGAATTATTTCAAAAAAATTACATCTGATATTTAAAACGAGTCATTTAAAATTATTAGTAAAAAGAAAAGGAAATGCATAAAATCCCCTTTATCACAAGATAAAATGTTCGTACATCTTGCAAGTGTTAATAATTCAAACTTAAATACTAGCATATTGAGCAAGACTTGCAAGACTTTCTGGCAGTTACATGCAGCAGGAACTTTACATTTGCTGTACACTGAGGTATCACATCCATCATTTCAGGGAGGGTGCTTTTCCCAGATGGGGGTATGGCATTTTGGTGGAAGGTGGGCTTGTTGCTCTCCCCACAGTGAATCCGCTGTGGCACGGGCACTTTCACTTTATCCTGCTGATGCCACAAGTGTTCACAAGATCCCGGTTTCCTGATCATGAGGAACATTCAAATGCATCATTTGTGTTATGATAGAAATATGGATTCACTCCAGTAAAGTACCTTTCAACTTTGGGGTAGCAGAGATGTGAAAAATAGAAAGAGATCCTATCAGGGAAGAGCAGTAGGGGAGTCATAGGAGGAATACAGTAGTGCAGATACATTCATTTGGGAACTGTTTGGAACTTGCCAGTTTTTTTCTGTTTGCTAATCAGCAGATGTTAACTACTTCATAATAGGAGGCTTTCTAAATTACAGAGACCACAATTTAGCTGCCTAAAAGTACCATACTTACAGATAATTAGATTCTGTGAATTTCCATATGGTTTTGGTAACCTTAGGATCTCATGTATGATTTAAAGACTATATTCAATTAAACATTTTGTGCTTGTTTTCTGCGACTTAATTATTTACATAACTTAACGGGGGAGAAATGTTTGCACTAGTCTACAAATGTGATATTGCCTGAGAAAATACAACAAGTACAGAGCACCATCTAGTGCAGGATATCCCTAACATAAAAGTCCTTCTGCTCCTATGTCACTTGACTGTGTTTATCTAATTTAATTTGAACATTTCTCATGTTGTAGAAGGAGCCAGCCCAGTGGCTCCTGTGGCAATATAATTACTTGGGACCTTCAGCTCTGGAAATCAACGCTGGAAGCACGGAAATTTGGGTAATCATTTGTGAGAAACATGTACTTGTAAGAGGAAGTTGTTTATCTTGCTGCCCACAGTGCTGGGTGATACATTCATTACAACAACACAGTCCAATCTAGCTATAAACCACGTTGGACATTAATTCTCTCACCAGATTTAGAGATCTAACTGCCATTTTAAGTGACTTGAGTGCACCATTTAGCTCCTCAAAGCCTTTGCTCGGCTTCCGCAGAGCCTCAGCTAGCCAGGTTCCTTTAGCTGAGCATTCACCGGTTGTGTATGCAAATCGTGACTAATGGGTGAGATTGAAGATTTGATTGTCATTAAGAAATGAAGAATGGAGGAAGCTGAGATTCTGTAGGAGACAGGGAAAAGACTTACTGTTAATTGCTGAGGAACTGCAGAGAAAAGTGAGCTACAGGTTTTTTATTTGTTTGTTTGTTTTCCTGTTTTGTTTGTTTGATTTGTTTTGTTTTTGCAAAGGCCATATTTTGATTCTTCTGGAAGCAAATAAATACATGATTTCAGTCCCAGGGTTGATTAATCAATATTTGAATATCAACACTCTTTTTGATGTGATCTATTTAGCATTAGGGTAGGATTAAGAGGAACTGTCTTAGTTAACTGAAGATGTAGTGATGACAAGCTGGATTGCATTCTGCACTAAACAAAGGTTGAAAAGGGCCCCAGAGAATTCAAAAAGATGATTTTTCATGAATGCTATGTTTTCAGCAAAAGGTAATAGAGCGTTGAAGAGCCACTGTCACTGTAAGGTTTCACATTCTCTTCTTATGTAGAAGGTGAACAAACATTGTAACTAACAGAAAATGAGAAATCCTCTCTCTCTAAGCATCTGTTGCACATGGAGTTTGGCTGAATGCTTGAAACCTTGCTGATTTCCCAGCTCTCAGACACTCTAAGGAAACAGCAAGCACACAGTCATACTTATTTCAAAGTACCTCCTGGTGTTGAATAGCTCTGGTTTTTGCTTTCTACTTTAAACTTTAATAGTCAATTAAAACAAACAAAGAAAGAAACAAACAAAAAGCAAACAAGAAAACAAGACAGAAATAAGTAGACATGTTTGAAAATCTAGATACAGAATACTTTCCTGGCTATTTTTTCTGCTCTTTCTACCTCTTTCACAACTGCCAAAGAGCACCTACTACTGAAGCTAGGGAAAAAAAAAAAAAGTGAAAAAAAAAAGTATAAAAAGTTGCATTTTCATTCTTGAGCTAATGAGGAGTAAATTAAAGAACCATGATAGGAATGTTAATGGATGTGGCAAGCTGTGGTTCAATTTGTTTTTCTGGATATGTATACCATTTTGCTAACAGCAAGAAGTAGCTTTGACAGAGCAGAGAAGAGGTTCAAGAGCTGGTGTTAGAAATAGCAGTGTGGGGGATGCTGGGGAGACACAGACAGTAGAGCTGAAGAGACGAGTCTCCACTGGAAAGAAGCAGGTCAGAAGTAGGCCTCAGCTCATTGTCAGCGTGTACTAAATGTTGTAGCAAAAACAACTGTTGTAACACATAGGGCTCTTTTACCACCCATTTAATTCACCTGGGCTGTGGTTTCCATTGTTTTAATATCCAAAATGTTTAGCAAATGGAAGAAAACGGAACTAGACAACTGAAAATATAAAGATGTTTCCCTTGAACAAGTATTACAAGAAGAGGCACTTCTGACTGCATGTTGCTTGTAGCTATGATTATGTTCTTTATGAAATCATCACTGACAAAACAGTTTCCTTGTTATTTCCTTGATTCTTCTTCCTTTTCTTTTGGGTTATATGATTTATATCAAGAGATATGCATTCATCTTCAGCTATTTGGGAGTTATTATGTTGTTCTAATGCCTGAACAACAACAATAAAAAAAAAAAAAACAAACAAAACCTGGCCTTTGCTCTTCTATCTTGTAAGAATAAAGATTCCCCTACAACATGTTCATACTTGTTAAGGAAATAAATAATTACCAACAGGACATGCCAGGCAAATAAAAGAATACTCGTGGCTGATCTTCTATGCTGTAATCTCCTTTCCAGAAGGTATTTAAATTTCCTCTTTGAAAATAAAGAGGTTGTTTATCTGAGAACAGTTATATGACCATTTTGAATTACAACACCTCTTTCACATGTAACCAAAAGGATCAACAGAGAAAAAGCCATAGAGCCAAAATGCCATGGAGCAACAAAAGACCATAGAGATGGTAGGAATTAAAAACTGTATTTGTGTATTGCTAGCAATATGCTAGGTGCTTTTCAGACAGCTAGGATGCCAAAGACATTATTCTGAAGAGCATTCAGTCCAAATAAATGTATAAATGCATTTTGAGATGTACAAAGAAAGATTTGTTCCTCCATTTTATGATTTCCAATATAGAAAAGGGGGTCAAATTTTACATCAGAGTATAATAATTATATTCCACCCCTCACTCAGCTGGAAGATGTCATTAACATTCTCATAAGCAAAGAGGATGGATTTATGTTGCCACAAACAACAACAAAAATACTGCAGATTTTATGAGAACAATTTGTACACATTAGCAAAAGTCCGTGCTAGACATCCAACTTTGTTGTCCTTAAATCTTCTATGTCTTTCATTTAAATTAAGTGTTATGTGATCTGTCTTAATACTCTCCAAATATATGAGCTAATCTTTCCATTTTCCTGTGAAAAATTAAGACTGTTTTTACAATTTCAACATAATGTTATCCATGTTTTTGCAAGGAATTAAATATTTCTCCTCCTAGAGTAGCAAAATAACTTGAAAATCATGATACAAAATACTGCACTTATATGTTTTTAAACCACTCCAAAACTCCCATTGTGTTTTTAATGACCCAAACCTATAGACTTGCTCCCAGAGTTATGCAGGAACATATTTAAAATTCTCTAATTAGATTGGATACATATCAGACATCGAATGCTGAATATATACATGTACATATTCATATATATGTATACACACCCATACATACAGAGGCTAGGGTGTCTTCTTGTCAGATAGAGAATTTAACTTGGTTTAACTGATTAACCAAGGCTTCAGATAAGCAATTACAGAGCTATCCATTGGTCCTCTCGTGCAGGGATACAGGAATGTGCTAAAAACTAGAAATCTCTAGCAGAGTATCTCTTGATACATTAAGAAAAAGGCTGTATGATCTAGAAAAGCTCTTATTACCACAAAAAGCTCAGACTGAAAGATCTCTGTATTCCAAATGTTTATCAATGTTATTTTTACAGGACAATTTTCTTTTTAGCTGCCTCAACCCCGTTTTTTCTTAACTTCCTTTTTCTGGTTAGATGTAATTTATTTCAGTGAGTGAGGTACTGTTTTATATGAACCTCTCTTTTTTTTCCCAGTTGTTCTACAGATTCTGCATCCCTTATTCCAAGCACTTATTTCAAGGATTCTCACCCAACTTCTGTTTTTAGAGAATGGAAATGGAAGGAACAACAGCTATGCAGGGAGTTCTCATTCGGCTGACATGTATTCATATAAATATAGATGTGAGATGGCTGGTAGATTGCCAAAAGTTATTATGTTAATCTTGACTGAAAATCGTCTTGAGGTTCAAATACTGTATTTGGACAGGAGGAGATAGATTTATAGTCCAACCACAAAAGTAGCATCTGTTTTGTGAAAGCAGGAAAAGAAAAGTGTCTAAATTTGGCTCAGATCCACGTGTTTTATAAAATCATCATTCTTATCTGCTCAGCTGAAATGGATTACATTTCATCAGGTAACTTTCTAGCGAGTGTGTCTATCCTTCTCCATGGCAGAATGCATCAACCAGTATTTTTTATTATTATTGGCTATTACAGTCTACTGTGGTGCTAGGCACAAAAGCTATGGATAGGCAGAATTTCTCTTATGATTTTTCTTGTACAAGAATAATGTGGATCTGTAGCTTGAGAAGGGGAAAAGCCCAGAGAGCCAAGAGAAAGACAGAAGAAAAGGAGAAGATAGAGGCTTAGAAGCAGAACCACTTAGAACTGACTGAACAGGGCATTCAAACTGTGAGAGCTGTGGAAGTTAACAGGTACGTAAAGATAGTAAGGATTTATGGAATCAAGCACTAAGAACTGCTAAACGCCAGATTCCAGACTGCACGTGAAACATAATTCCCTCTACACATGCATTATGTTCAAAGCATAGCTCACATTAAAATTAGTTGCAGCTTTTGTTATTAAACCTTTTGGTAAACTCCAAAATGTCAATATACTAAAGTCCAGGATATCTATCTGGTTACTAAAAAGAAGAAAGGCATAATTACTGACCATCTGAAAATCTTTGATTTAAATGAAATCTCTAGAAACTCATTTGATTCTTGCCTAGTAGCATCCCTTCTCTTCCTCTAGTTTCCTGCATCATTCTTTATGTTTTTTATATATGTTCTGTACACAACACATGCAACAAATAGAAGTAATCAGAGGCATTTACAGACAACAGCTTTCTTCTAAAGCCTTGGTTCATTCTAGAGAAAGTACATCCACTGAGTAAACCAACCTTAAGGTTCTATTTAGATAATTTTTTGTGTGCAATGCATACAATTCATTTTAATTTTTGAGACATGACAGTGACAATATATTTTTCTATTAAAAAAGTTAAAGGATTTGTAGGCACTTTTCATAAAATCATCGAATCACAGAATGGCTTGGGTTGGAGGGGATCTTTAAGATTATCCAACTCCAACCCTCCTGCCATGGGCAGAGATGCCACCCACTAGATCCGGTTGCCCAAAGCCCCATCCAGCCTGGCCTTGGACACCTCCAGGGATGGAGCATCCACACCCTCTCTGTGCAACCTGTTCCAAGACAAAAATACTCCATGCTTACAAAGATGTCCTTATTCCTAGGCAAACTCTGCCTTTTAAAAAAAACAACAAACAAACCCATAGACATATTAGCAGTAGTGTTTGTATCTATGAATTCATAGGCCAGATTCTCTTCTGATTTATGTCTCATAAAGCTTTTAGTTGCAGAGGAATTATTCCAGATTTATATAAGCATATATGAGAAGCAAAAATCTGCCCATCCGTTTTAGTTTGGATTGATTTGCTGAAAGATTAACTGGACAAATCGTCTTAATAAAATACTTAAACAATATTAGGTTCAAAGTCTGCTGGTCTGACCTTCATTACAACAGATTTCAGAGAATACCACCACCCATGCCAAGTGTACCAAACAATTCCATTGTCCGTCTTCGCAGTATAGGGGCCTTTGTAGTACAAACCATTCAGGTTGGCTGAGTGACACCTGGTGGAAAAGTAAAGGAAAACATAAATAAGTCCTCTTGTCCAAAAGTGGAGAGCATTTGTAATTTCTCTGCAAATCAAAAAGTCACTATGTTGTTAACAGCCCAGTCTGACAGCTGCAAAAATTTACATTTGTGGACTTCAGTTCCTCTAAACGTGAAGAGTTTAATTAGGGGACAATTGCAAGTGCTTATACCATCTTTGAAACAAAAAGTTATTTCTATGTTTTCTACAAGTTTTCTGACATCAGTAGGTCTCTGAGTTTTGCCTGCTAATCTGTTTCAATGGAGAGTGATTTCAGAGTCCTTCAGGTCATGCGTAGCAGCAAAGCATACAACAAGCAAAACTCTAGGAAAGAAATAGTGATGCTTTTTATTGTTAACAATTAATAACAATAATATTATTATAGCTAATTAAACATATATGTACCACTTCACTGGATCATCAGAGTTGGCATTTTATTGGATTATACAAACTACATTCTTTCTGGCTGTTAGACACACTGAAATAGAAATGTTGTTACAGTTGTTAAACATGCTACTAAAAGCTATCAAAACCCAAAAGGCTTGACTAGATACCACCACAATCTTGATACTCATTTGGCATTTCTATGAGAAGGGAGGAAATTTAGATCCTTGTGTATATATGGAAAGCAAAATCGTTGTTTCTTCTGCAGCACACATTAATAAAGCTGCTTTGCTTATCTGCCAATTCAGTATTTTGTTATTAGTGTTGTTAATATCTAACTGTCCCACACCACAATGGATTTCCAAAGCAGACTTCAGAAAATATTAAAACAGAAAACAGTCCAAATGGATATTATTACTGGCAAATGCTAGTCCCTTTGGCTTTGCTTACACTTTATTAACAACAGGTTTTGAGAACTGAAATAGAAACAGTGATAAAAATCTCATAGGAAAATTCTCTTACATATATGCTTATTTATTGCTTACAAGTTTTAAGCTGGATTTTGGTAATAAGCTGGTTGAGAATAAACTGAAGATATCAAAAGTGACTTCGTTTTTGATAAGGACAAACTTGTATGAGAGCTGTCACAGCCTTTCTAGCCATTCAAATCCTGCACTGAGCAGGCACTTTATTTACTTTAAATCAAAACATTTTGGGAGAAGAATCATAATTGATAAGAGGTATCTAGATCAACTGAATCCTTTCTTCTACTTCTTCTATTGGAAACAGTCAAAAGTTGATTTTATCGCCAGTAATATGAGCCAGTACTAACTTGTAATTAGTGCTGGGAGGCATTAAGACGAAGAATATGCAGTATTCTGTAATAGACTAGATACAGGCTGAAGTAACTGGACATACTAAAGAAATAATTGGCATGCAATGATATGAAGCAACATCCATTACTCACAAGTCAATAATCACCTTAGAGTTAGCCTATGTTCCTCTCTTCTTTCTGATAGGCTATTTTTTAAAGCAAAAAACTGCACAGCAATAGTTTCAGAGGCACAGTCAACTCCCAATTATCCACAGACATTTTATCTGAGTTATATACTAACTGTATATGCAGAGAGATGGGGTTGCTTCTCTGGGAGAACTGGGAATGCTGGGGGAGACAACGTGCTCATGTCCAAACAGACTCATTAGCTCTTACTTTCCCATTGTGAACCTACTGATCTGTGCAGCATCTTGGATGAAGGAAGCCCTATGAACTGGGTGTAGTACCAGCAAGAAGGTAGCTCTGGGGACTTGCATCCAAGCTGCAAATCTCTGCTTACAAAGTCACACAGAGAGACCGTTCTGCTGCAGAAGTCCAAGTTAACAAGTGCAGAGCTGGAGCAAGACTAGTGGGTTTAAATGAGATATGTGCTATTTCCTGTGCCTCACTTGTATCACGTCCCTTGGTATTCATATTATCTGGGCATTTCTATATTTCATTAGTCCAGATAGCATAGAGCTGGCTACAGAAAATTCCTGCCTAGCTGCGAGCTCCTATACAAACCAGCCAAGAACACTAATTCCTTCTATGTTTGCTAATCTGTGCATGACATATTCATGTTCTTGGTGCTTTCCTTTCTCTGGGTCTGCCAGCGCTGTTCTTTTGGGTAGGATTTCAGAATAGCAAAAATCTCTAGTATTTTGCAGGATTCAGTTTTCTATTAAGTTTAACATTAAAAAGCCAGTAGCAAGACAGTGGAATAACACTACTAGTCACTCACTTTCATTATCCAGACAGACTGTCCCTTTAACAGTGTCAGACACACAGCCATAATAGGAACTAGCCTGGTAGGAGTCAGCTATCTTTAGTAGTTATGTAGCACCAACTACAAGGTATTCATAACTGTCAATTATGCCATGTAGTTACTATTGCAAAGGGATCACTTTTCTGGTCGGACCAATCTGATATTTTAAAAAAATAAATGAAAAAGAAAAAGAAAGTTTATAAAAGACAAAAAAAAATATGTAGTTGACTATAAGTGATTGATGATTCTCTGTTAATAAACTCCATGTCATGGTATCACAGTTTTGTGCTATTTGAAGTCTAGACATTCCTCTAAATCCACAAAAGTTCTGATTTCATTGGAAAAGTATCTCCAGCACAATTGCTTTTCTCCTTTATGTCTTATCCTTTATGAAAACTGAAAAAAAAATAAATGTCTACATGTGATTTTTTTCGATATTTCTCAAATAATCTGCCAACCTACCATCCCTGAAATATACTTAAATAATTAATTAATTGTGAAACACTGGGGTAATAGCTACCTCATTATCAGCTAAACTGGTCACAGCTTTAGACTACTTATTGAAACAGAATTTGGAAAATGAGGAGTTAAAAAACAGATACAAAGGATGACACAACAGAGGGAAACAATGGAGTTGATCCAGCCTGGCAGTTCCTGCCAAGTGAACTGAGATCACAGTGAGAGAGTACTATGCTTCCCAGAGCTGTATTTTAAAGCTATCTATTACACAGATACATTACATCGTTTCTCTTTATGGCTAGATTTATCTAATTAATTATGTGAAAAAACATAGTTGCCTATACAGGCAGTGCTAAGGTTTATCCTTTCTTTTGAATTGCTATTTTGTATTTAGGGATTGTCTTAAAATTCTTTTACTGAACTCTATTAATTTATTTTTTTCCTCTTAACCCAGTCATGTGCACTGAGAGAAACTGAGTGGATGCATTCCCATCTTGATATAGAAAGGATAACAAGAATGAAATGCTGTGAACTGAGGTGAAAAAACTATGGTTTATTAACCCAGCACTAGCTTAACTCATCAGACATTCGTCAGTGCTGCTGCATCTAGTCTAGTGAAACAAAGGAGAAATGCAGGAATGAAGTACAGCAGGGATACATCTGCAAACTCTACATGACCTACTTGTGTAAACACTGGTTACCTTAAAGGGACAAAATTGTGTCCTCCTTACTGTCTGAGAACAAAGGTGGCCAAAGCCCATGGCAAACAGGCAATGAAATGCAAACGAAATGGCAAATTTCACAGACACCTTGAGTTGTTCAGTATGTATTGGCACTTCTAATGCGGGTCTTGGTCCTATCAGCACTGAGATCTCTGGTAGGGGTCAAGGACGGATTGCAATTACAATAAACAATGCATATCCTATCTTTGACTGTATGTTATTATTGTATGAATACATACAAAGTAGAATAGTTGATAATTCAGTTATGAAATTAAAATACCTGTTAAACCACCAACCAGCCTTTTCCTCTTCAGCACAGTTGCCTTCATAGTTGTCATTGTCCCTGTCTCGAGTACTGAATTTCATTCCTCGATGATCAGCCCACCATTTTACTTCAGGATGAAACCCCCCTGTCAGGGAATCACCAGCTGTGCCAGAATATTCACCACAGTTCATCTCATAAGAATGCTAATGAAAAAAGTGAAAAAAAAAAAAAAAAAGTAATCCAATGTATCTTTTAGCTTTTAGCACATCAGAGAGTGAAACCACACAGAAGAAACTAACCTGTTCCATTGTTCCATTCGCTACTATTGATATGCCCAGAATTGTCACGGCACTTAAGCACTGCATGCTAGCTAACAAGGGACTGTACAGATGCTTATCAGGGTAAAATTTGTCAATAACTTTGTGCATAAGCAACATAAAAACATTAGAGTTAGTTTTCAGTACCTATTAACAAATCAGAACATTGTGTACCATTATTGTTAGAAATATAAATGAAAACGGAAAAATGCTTTTATCCATGACTTCTAGAACAAATAATTCATCCAACTTACAGAAAGAATGAAATCAGTATATCCATATAAATGACTATTGTTACATATTTGAAAATTGCAAGCATTTGTAAGAAAGAATACAAATTAATAAGGCTCTAAATAAATCTTTATGAAAATAAAGGAACATGTATATTTAGTGTCTCTGTCTATAGAATCTACATTTTCAGTAAAACTCCCAGTTATTATTTAATATTTAATTACCTCTTCACTGGCAACTCCAAATCTTGTATATTGTGCAAAACGCCGTTCTCCTTCAAAATCAGTTAGATCAATTCTTAAAGTATAGTTCCCTTAAGAAATGACAATAAAAATTATTTTTGTTAAACTAGCCAATCTCACTACTTCTCAGAGCAGAGCATTACAGTAGAATATTAAAATACTCATATACTCATTATGTTTTTATCACGAATCTTATCTGTATCATCACAGCATATTATGTGTTATTTTTTTTTTCTTTCTTTATGCTCATTAAAGCATATCTTGCTATGTTTGTCTTTATTCACATGCTTCATCTTCGAAAAATTTAGAATTATTCCAATACAGATTTATATACATATTCAATACATATTCAAATGTATTTTGTTCTGAAACTTTGGGGAGGTCCACGCAGACAAACAACACAATTCAAGATTTGTGCTAACAAAAAAATGGCCTGGAAAGAACAAAGAATCAGAAACAATAGAAGATTATTGTCACAATACAAATCTTACCTTGACTGGTCAAGTAATGAAGATTTTTATTTCCAAGCCAATATTCACCATTTGTCAAAACAAAATTTCCAAAGCCTTCTTCATAGTCAGTCCAGCCTCTGAAAAGGAGCATAAATTACTAATTTGAGTAACCAAAGAAGTATGTTTGAATATTTATTTTATCATACAATCATAGATCACTGAATATTTTGACCTGAAGGAAAACCTTGGAAGGTCGTCTACTCCAATATCCAGCTTAAGGCAGGGTCAGTCATGAGATCAGACCAGGTAACTCAGGGCTTTGTCCAGTCAGGTCTTGAAGAGACTTCACATCCCCTTTGGGCAACCTGCCTGATCATTCTCACAGTGAAAAAGATTTTCCTTATATCTGGCCTGAACTCTTTCTTTCAATTTATGTGCACTGTCTCTCATACACCCAAGAGACGCTATTGTGAGGAGCCTATTTTTTCAAGGATTTCTCAAACAACTCAGTTTTCTTAGTGATCTCCTTGTAGGATGACAGGTTGCTATTGGGTCCTACTGAATCCCTCTCTTCTCCAGGCTGAACAAGCCTTAGATCCGCATAAGGATGTAGATATCTGAAAAGCAAATTGAACAAAACAGATGTCCTACAAACCTTCTTCTTGCTTCTAATATTTGCATATATATATATTATATAAAAATTTCACCAAAAATTTCACTTCTGGGCATTCCCTCTAAATGTTTGAGTCTTGGCAAAGGTAAGGAGCTTACATGTCCACATATCAAGTGCTCACACATTTTATCTTCCCTGGAGGCATTTTACTATGAAATACAAATTACTTCATGATGGGTTTCTCTCATACTTGTGTGCCAATGGTATTTTATTTCCAGAATATAGCTTGCATACTCTTTACATTTTACATACTTTTTACATTTTTACTATTTGCAAATCACAAGGTAGTCCTTTGCTTGGCATTAAGAGTCCTTGCTCCAAAAATAGTTAATTCATTTGACATTGAAATGTCCTTATGTAAAATGCACTAGTCAGAAAAAGACTAAAAGAGATGTCTTCCTATTTCAAGGACATTTTATTGATTTATCTTTCTGTCTAACATTGTGCACACTGCACCAAGTCCAACAAGATGCATGCTATGAAGAGTGTGAAATTAGATCTTAAATACTTTGTTGACTTGACCTAGGAGAATTGATTTGGATCATACAGACAGTTTGTGACAGAGCCAGAAGTGATACCTCATCTGGAGGCTGTTCCACAGCATAACTGTTCCTACTTTTTATCTGACATAATAACTTCATATAATTCTAAAGTTAATGTTTAACTTAGTTCCATCTGGTTTTATGTTTCTCCACTTTGTTTCCAGTTTTAATGACCAAGTCTAGTACCTACCTATCAAAATTCTGGCTGCCATCAGAACGCCTCTGAAAAACAGTCCAACCACCCCCTTCAGACATGTCACAGAAGGCCAGGAATTCATTAGGACTCTGGATAGGTTTCATCTTATAAAATCCACTTTGCTTGTGGCCATCGTTGTAGATTTCAGCACAATCTGTTCATAAAACATCCATTGGACACAGTTCTTTTAATCCTATACTTACTGACAAAACCAGAAAACAAGTCAATGAAAGAAATCAAGCCATGTCAGGTAAAGTCACATATGAACCTGGCTAATAGAAAGCAAATACCTCTGCAAATTCATTTTTTTATGACTTTTTGGCATTTTCTTCTATTTATGTTGCTTTAAAACTTTATTGAGCTATAATTATTTTGACATTTCTGTGAAAGAATCTTTTTTTCCACCATAAAACACTATTATTTCTGTCTTCACTCAACTAGCAAAATAATTCCTCTGGTTTAGGTGGCGCCACTTCCAATTTACAGTGGTATAATCCACATTCGAATCCTGTTACAATCATAGAATTTCTCTACATATAAACCACTCGGTAATCTTCAAAAACAAAGATGTGCTTCTGTGTCAGTCCCCAGAAGAACTGCCGAACAGGAGAGAATGGAATCACCAGTGTTAGAAAGAGGAAACAATTGCTGGACCTGATACTGTTGTCCCTTGTATCAAAGAGGTGCAAATATACACAGAAGACTATCCCCCTAAAAGCCCAATGTATGTCTAAAATCATACCACTTCGGCTTGATACTAATTTTTAAGTCTGGTTTGGGTTGGTTTTAATGAAAGCAATGACAGAATTTAGAGCTCATGAAAATGTAACAGCAATGTAATTGCATAATCTTTTTTCCTCTAGGAGCTAAGAAATGAAAGGAATTCTTTGTTTATATGTAATCAGTACGTACCATCAAGCAGTCATACAGAAAAGATGTATAATTTTCAACATTTCTGTTTTTCCTGGCAAAAGTAGAGCTTATTAACTGCAAGATTTTCCCTGAATGCATTATGAACGTGTTGGCTGAACTTCCAGGCCATATTGGAACTTTGTGAACTATTATATTTCTTCTTACTGAAAACATCAGTGAAGATTAGACATAGAAAAAAATAAACAGTTTATAATGAAAACAAATAGCTATGCCAGGATTTGAACAAATCATAAGAGGGAAAAAAAAAATAAAAAAAATACACCCTTTAAAGAACAACCAAGATGTCTTTGTAGAGAATGTTTGACTGCCTTGTAGAAATACGTTTTTTGGTGTCCATTATTTTTCTTAGTAGGTTAGCAAAATACCTAAGTGCATTTTAATCTTAAGCAGGTATATATATGGAATTCCTTCCTCATTGTCTAACTCCAAATTATCCAGCTCTGTTGACATTAAAATGCTACAGCAGCTTGAATGAAATAATGCAATATCAATGGGGAAAAACATTTACCAAGCTATAGGAAAGTAAAGTAAAAAAAAAAGGGGGGGGGGGGGAGGGGGAGGATGGAGAAGAATCAGCAGAAACTGAAAACAAGAACTTAGATTTGTTATCCAGAATCACATTTTAAGAAAATAAACAGAGGACAAAGGAAAAAGACATTCATCTGAATGTGGTTTTAATAATTTTTTCCAGTAAAAAATAAGTCAACCATAATAATAAAAATGTCTTCTAGGATGCTGAATATGTAAATAAATATATAAATAAAATTTCAAGTCAAACTCATAACTGCTTTCAATTTTATTTTAATGGTGTTTTATTATATGTGATGCCTTGGTTTATGTTGTGATTTCTTCCAGAAGCATAAATACTACAAGTATATTCAAGCAAGCCTATTAAAACTTATAGAAGTTAGGACTCTCTAGTGCTGGACAACTAGAAAGCAACGCCATCCAAGAATCAGACCCCCAAATTGTATTTTTCAATCCAGCTATTGTTTGGGATTTTTTTATTATTTTAGATGAACTTGGACCTCACTCCAGCAATGACGGATTAACACACTGCCTTCTTCCACTGCAGAGAGACTAGATCACCACCAGAATAAAAACAACTTAAACCCAGTATTTTAGAAACTGTGAAGTCTGGAGCTGAACCTCACTCAGTCACAGTTTTGCAACATAAAGAATATAAGAGATCCAGATATCACAATTGCAGGCTTATTTGTGTAAACATGGATGCTTCAGGGACTTTACAGATCAGAGCTCACACACCTATTGTATTAAACAAGAGGATTGTGCATGGCAGGTGTTTTGTTTTGAGTGTCTTTATCAGTTTGGGGTTTGGACTTGGATGTTGAGCATCTTAAGTTCCAGTTAAGTAAGGTCATTAAATTGCTAGCCATGTGTCCATCTGGTTCATGATTTTTCCTATTTTGCAGAGACATCCTATTTTTGAATGAGTTACTTAATTAGCAGAGTATGGAGGACTTAATATATGTTGGGATATTGCTGTCTCTTGTACAACAAGAGTCTCTAATATATTACTTCTTTAATCCCATTGCCTTTCAAATAATTTCTAAAACTCCTTCTTTAAACTATTCTGCAAGTAGAATCAAACTCTCAGCTTTCAAACTAGATTCAAACATTCATTTTGGGTTAGCAATTATAACACTATACCCCAATGTTAAAGGAATAAAAGTACGATTGTGATGGAGAACATCTTTACTGGTGATAACACAGAATACCAAAGACATTTTAATATCCCTTGGTCTGTTAGCAATTTGACCTAAGACTGTAATATGCTGCCAATTTTTGGCAGTTAAGCATCTTAAAATGGGAAAGATTAGTAATGGTGTACTGAACAGCTTCTACTTCTACATGCCAGTTTTCAAAATGTTCTGTTGGAAGAACACTGTAAATTTAAGGTAGTTGTATTTAGTAATCTCTCCGTCCTCTGAGACCTTCCTGGTCATTTAGTTCATCTGCCTTACCTGTATTAAGCTAAATCATTTGGGATGTAACTCTAAGAGTTATTAGGACAAGTATGTTCTATAGCACAACAACAGTTTTACCACATTTAGGAGATAATTAATAATTCATTAGGAATTTCTTAGATGGGAATGCTCAAAAGCTTCAGGGTTGCAGAGGTGCTGTACTTGCAATTCTTTAGCATGATTTGCCTTTTTGTAACAGAAACCAGTCCTTTTCAATGTGCAAAACCACAAAAGCCATATTTTCCCCATAACCAGCATAGTCTACAAATGGTTTCATTTTATGAGGAACAGGCCACTAGAATTATCTATTGCTATTATTATTATTATTATTATTGGTATTGTTAACTATACTAGCATCTTATGGTTAGGTATTATTTTTTATTTATAGTATTCCTTTAAACAGTTCTCTCTTATACTGAGAGAAACATCAATTGAAACCTTACTACTGTTTGCAGCTGAGAAAGAAAAGACTGCAAAAGCAGTCAAAAGATAGCTAAGCCCCTAAAATCCTTTTGGGCTTTGTCTGTCAAAATGCCATCTTAAAATCTATTAAGAAATCAAGAGACAAAGTAGATCATACAGCTACTGTGTAATATATTTTTTCCATCATGATGTCTCACTTAAAATAAACAAAAAGTAAAAGGAAACCATTTTACCACATTCTCCTTCCAACCACTTGAAAGGTATAGCTCTTCGTAGCAAGCATGACTTTCTTCTGAGTTATCATAGATGTCAGGGTGCCTGTACAACCCCCTGGTGGTAACATGACCAAGATAACCACTGACATTATAGGAATGTGAGTTTACAAGCTCTGTGTGTGAGTACAATATCTGAAACTATCTTTTCTGAGATGATGGTTGCCTCTAAAATGATAATGTGAAACGGTGAATTATCAGTGATGAAATTTACTGAAGTTGATCGTCAACCAGATTAAAAAACAACTGGGATATCACCAAACTATTATCAGTTGCATTGCTGATACTGATTCTAAATGAATTTTTCACTGATTGCTTTTTAATTATGTGCTATTAATCAATAAATAAACCTCTTCAATCCAGATTTGATTTATACTATGTGGGATGAACACAGGCCTAGGTAACAGCTGAATACTGTGCTTTAAACAAACCATTTTCTGTGAGCTGCAAAACAATATGTCAATGGGTCTAATTGTGCTAAAGCTTCTGGGTATCACTACAATGAACGGAAATGAAAAGAATAGCTTCATTTCTAACCTGAATACTGTCTTTTTCCTCCCAAGTCAATGGCACTGTTTTCATCTCCTCTGTCACTGTACTGTATCTCTTTCTTCTCTAAAAGCTGTATAATTTTTAACTGCTGCTGTTTCACACGATGTTCCAGAAGTCTCACCTGGGCCTGAAGTCGTATCTGCTCTCGAAAACAGTTCTGTAGATCCTAAAAATGAAAATGCATCCTATTGTAAAATCAGTATTTTTTTGTCAAGTTTAACGTGTAGAGAAAAAAAAATAATTAACTTGAACAAAGCATTTTTGTCTTAATTCCCTAGAGATACTATTTTGTCTTCCACCTTAGTTGTTACCTCTACTTTAACTGATTTAGTACGCTATAGAGTATCCAACCATGCCAGCTTTGCAAAGAGACCCTCTTTATCAGCTAAGCTACCAGCTCTCTCTAGAAACACACAGAGGAGACTCCATAAAAACACTAGCATACAGATTGTTTATTCTCTATCACCTCATCATGCACAGAGATTTACTTTCCAGTGAGGCCTCCTACCAACATGGTGCGGGTTCCAAAACTGCCAGAGTTTTAAAGAAATGCAGTCCATGCTGATACCTTTTCAATTTCATTGTTCATTTTCAAGTGCTTTTTGATTACACACTTCTTACGATAAGGATCTTAACATTGCCAACATAAACATTGTAAAGTTTCAAGCTCTTTTTGGCACACTAAATTAAATAGCCCCTAAGAAACTGCAAATATGCATGAAAAATAAGAGTTTAAAACTTAAAGTTGGTATCGTGCTATGACCTGTACTCCTATCTTACTGTGCGGAGTAACGGAGATGTGATGATTTTAATACAGTGATACCTTCTACTCACTGCACATACTGATATATGACTCAGGAGAGCTGGAATAACAGTTCCAAATTCTGACATGCTCAATGTATACAGAGCAATATATTCATTTATTTATTTTTTAGATTAATGGCTATGGTAAGGCTATGGCCTGAGCTAGGGAGCTTAAATTACAACAGCTTGTACAGTTTCAAATACATAATAAACAAATTTGATTTCAAAAGGGAGGGGAAAGCCTCTGGGATTTTATGATACATTCTACAAACGTGACATGAGGTTTTGTATCAGTAACATTGTGTCTGCAACTTTATATGAGCAAATAGTTTAGTAGCTATGGTGTTTGCATGAGAGCACAACCAGCACTGTAAAAGTAAAATCAGAGAGCAACCTTTTGGAAATCTGATAGGCGAGATCAAATATACAGCAGTTCTAAATTGGTACAACCTTATTCGTAGGGCAACATTATTTGAATGTAGACCTGTAACACTTGCCATCCATATGGAAGAGCTGATATCTTAGAACATTGCCCTATCACGCTGAATGAGAGATCTGAAGCAGCATACTGATGTGAAGCTCCACTGGCATCAGCATAATTTTGTACCAGGCTCAGGCCTCATGTATTTTCCATGAAAACTACCATCAATATGGTTCTTGTCACTTTCTTGCTGCAGTGATTTATTTATTTATTTTTGTCTATGTGAAAAGCTGGTACCATTCTGTACATTTCTGTGCAGCACAGGCATGGCTCTGGTTGGACTGACTTCCTTGAAGTACCATTAGTACCTCACCACAACTCTAAGAGCAAACTCAAATTAAACTAACAGTATTCATAAGAAATCACATTTTATGATCAACACATATGGACTTATAAGTAATTTCTGGTACTAGTTAAAAAGCAGAACTTCTGCTACTGTTGAGAAACATCTCTATCAACAGTGTCATCACTATGATGTCATTTCTGATAGAAATAAGTGTTGCTGATGTCCAAACCCCTTTGCTTTTTGAATACAGAGGATAGAATTCATTTTCAACATAGGCAAATGAACTTGACAAATTTCAGGAGAGTACTGTATGTCCGTGAGTTCATTCAAATATTTCCTAGCCACCATGTCCCATTTGACTGTAATGTCCAGTCTCATTGAAAAACGTGTTGATCACACTTGCTGTCTTTGCAAACAAACCTGATTAGGGGCCTCTGCTCTGAGTATTTCTGCAGTGTATCAGATGGCTGTTTAAGTGCCATCTAATATATACAGTGGAATAAAAGAATGGGGAATATACATGCGGCAGGACTAGGCAGTTTGTCGGTGACCTGTCTGAGAGGAAAAGGTCTGGCTGCCTCTCTGGGGCTGGGCTGCCCATGTCAGCCGGCTGTGTCAACAGGTTTGTCTGCAGGCTCTGACTGTCTGCTTCCTACTAGGTCCTGAGAAGTCTTGAAGGTGCTTGACCACAAGGAGGAGCTGTAAGTGAGATGCACAATTTACCAAACACTAAAATTTTGGGAAGGAAATAAAACAAAAGCAGCCCGTGACCTAATATCCCTAAAGTCCTATGCTATTTAAGAATACTCCCTTGAAAATCTGTTTTGTTTGTTGATAGCTATACAAGATCCCTAACATGCCCTCTTTTATTTTTATTTTTTTTTTCCTAGCACGGAAATTAAGAAGAAAAATAAATACATGCATGTACACACTTTCTACAGAGGCTTATAGGTTATTCGACCATAAGTAATGACAAGTGTGCTACATGCTGCATATTACAAAGAAAGTCTTTCCAGGATGATTATTTTAGCTTGTATCTGTAGCTTCATATAAATCCTTCACAAAAAAAAAAAAAAAGAAAAAAAAAGAGTAGAGCCATTCTGAGCCATTCAGAAGAGAAAGTTCTCTGCAAATTCTCAGCCTGCTCCTGAGTGCACACAGAAACTGGACAGATATATAGGTGGGTTGAGAAAGAGTGAGTTAAAAAAAAAAAAGTTCTCAGATGAAATATTAATCTTAATCATAGTAAGTTATAAAGGAGCTACCATGCTTTTGTTTAATGAGGAGGTTGGCCTTTATCAGTCTTACCTCAGTACGCACAGCTTTGGAGAAAATGGTAATAAAAAACAGGAGAGACTTCAGTTATCCTGGAAATGCTGGCCCCTGCAACCAGGCCCCTGCAATGTCGTAAGTAAGACCTCAGGTAGATAGTTTTTTTCCCATGTGGCAGGGTCTGAACTATGAAGAGCTATTTTCACTTAAAGTGAAAGTTAAAGTCTGTGCTTTTGAGGAGGGAAAGCTACAGGCAACTGTGTTTTTTTTTCAGGTCTAGTGAAAATGTATCATTCTGCCTACCTGTACTGCTGACAGCCATTCTCCTACTTTTTTAAAATTATATAGCAAAGTACAGATCTTCTCCAAAAAGCCTTATTGTACCTTAGAAAAACTTGCCATCTACCTTTAATGTGACACTACTTCATGTGCTGCCATAAAAGGTCTGTTCCTTTTAATCAAATTAAAACCACCCAGTCTGTATCTCCAAATATTATTCTTAACTTTGTATTTTAGTTATCTTTTCATTTTGTTTACTTAAAAATTGTGAATTTTTTCATGAAAATGGAAAAGTAACATCGAACTGATTCTCATCCTCTTTACAGACTGCACACTTGCTATAGGGTAAGAAATAACATATTTGCATTATACATCACAATTTCTTGTTGCAAAAGATTTAAGCTCCTGATGCTGACTAGGTGACTAAGTACTAGGTGACAATAAAGAAACCATGAACAGTACTAAGTACACCACAAGAAACAAATGATTTAACAGAATTAGTCTTGAAAGCAACCTTGAACGGTATTTGTACCTGATATTTTGCTTTCTCTCCCTGACTCAAGTCTTCTCATTGCTATCTCCTGCTGTGAACTCCAGTTCCTGTTATGCTTTGCTGCTGAACAGCAACACTGCAATTCTCATATTTGGAATCCCAGACGTATTTTCCCCATGGGACAATCCCAAGTTAGCTGTGTAACTTTCAAGGTGGATCGATGTGGCTTTTAGATTTGCATGTCACAAGATTGCTCTTTGCATGTACTACTCCGCTTTGTCACAGGATAACTCTTTTAAAATCATTGAGGTTAAACCAGTGCACAGCTAGAGTAATACAGAAGCAAAAGGTACCCTAGGGTTACAGTGTAAGAGTTAGCAGCTATAACTTACTGCTATTCCTTTTGTTAGATATGGATCAAAGTAAAGCAAATATAATAGTGAAATACTCTAGAAAATGTGAATTTGACCATGACTTTCTCTATTGGACAGTAGTGCCCACTGAAACTAGACTGAACACGACCTGTTCTATCTGTTTCAGTGAAGCAACTGTTTGTACTACACATTGAGAAGCAATTATCTAACTGTTGCTGACAGCTCTGCTCTTGGACACATGGTTCCATATTTAAGCAGCTGCTGCAATTAGTACGCATTCACATTCTTTATTTTATTTCATTATCGTGAGGGCTATTTAGCAGCCAGTGTCCTTTCATTAAAACCGATGCTACAAATTATATTTAGAATAATTTATGAAAGCTACAAAAATACCAACTCTTTCTTTGAGGTGCTTTTTCCTGTATTTTTAGAATTTAAATGAGCTTAAAGAATACCTCAAATGAGAATAGTATTTTAGAGAGATTAAATATGAAAACTTAGAGAGGAATTTCAGAATGTTCCCAGCTCTCAGTCACAGTCAGCCACAGCCCATAATATTCCAACTGAAAAATAAAAAATCAAAATAAATCAAATGTATTTCATTGTATTGCCTTTTTCTCAGTAGGTTTCTATAAAAATCATTTTTTTTTTCTCCAGTAAGCAAAGGTGCAGAGGCAGGTGCATCCTACCTATTTTCTCCCTGTAGAGCTACTTTTCTAAACAAAAGGCTTTCCTAAGACAGCCACAAACAGTTATGCTTACCTAGTTGTAAATTTGACAACCACTTCCACAGAGGCAATTATGAAAAAACAATTCAGTCTCCAAGGTCCCTGCCAATTAGGACTTGAATATTAAACTAGAAAGGACAGCCAAGACAGGCAGTACAGGACTGATAAGGTTACGACTATTTTAAGTGGTGGAATAAATGTGTTTCTGTTTTTCTGTTGGAGACACAAAATAAGTAGTAGAAAGTCTGGGAAGCCAGAATCAAAGGAGTTGTGTTCATTGTTTCTCACTGTGAGCTACAACATAGTAACATGGCAACAAGTAAGACAGTGAAGCTGTGGATCTGATTTGAGAGGAAGTCCTAAGGCCAGTGGACCAGGTAGAAGAGGATAGAAACATTCTTCATGCTTTGTATCAGCATAGCACTGCTGCAGCCACCAAGCTTGTGAGACACGAGCTGTGTTTTCCTTTCTGTAGGTACGTTACTCAAAGCTGAAGCTGTTATTCTGAGTTAGCATTACCATGGAATGGAAGCAATAACTGCCTTCAGTGCAATAACTGCCTTCAGTGCATCCTCTACAATGTTCATGTTAACGCATCATGTGATAACTTTTTAGTAAAGGTATTCTATTGCCTCTTTCTCCATGTTGGATCCAGTCACAAACTGACTGGATTACTTTCTCCAGTGCTATTGCTCAGCCATTGTATATTTATGCTCCTGTTTTGTCATTCCTTATCAGAAACTTGTCTCCACTGAATACTGGTAGAGGCTATTTCCCCAGTCTTCTGGATTTGTTTTGTATTCTAATCTTTTCCGTCAAAGGTTCTGCCATCAGATCTAGCTGAGATACACTGTAAGGACTAGAGAAGTTCTTCTTTATTTAGAAGAAACTCTAAACATAAACTTAAGGAGTAGAACTTACAGAGCTCGCAATAGTATCCGTCAGGCTAGCTGCAAGGACAAAATCAATCACTATCAAAATCTTCATTCTCTGGAAGCTGCGAAGTAGAGGGACAAATGAAATAGTAGTTAACTTAAACATTAAAGCTAAAGATTTACACCTGACATCTTTACTTGTTATTGCAAATAATCAAATTAACCTATAATTATTTCTCTATAATTCACAAATACAGCGTATATTTAGGCTTCATTACAATGTATAAAATAGTCTGATAAAATACACCTTCAAAAACCAGTAAAAACAATCCTATCCTTTTAGGCCATTAAGGATCAGAGATCTCCAAACATTTTAGGAGGGTTAATCAAGGCTACAAAATGACACGACTTACTGCAGAATAAAACAAAAGCAAAATACTCCTTTAAATTTTTGAGAAAAGCAGAAGAATATTCCTTGGGCTCTGAAAGTTGGGAGAAAGGTCTCTATACATTCAAGTTAACTAAAATCTGTATTTGGTTAGCTGTCCTTGAAGTAAAGAAAATGTCTTGTGCAAGTCCTTTGTCCTAGGAAAGGATGGAGGTAATAATTTTTCTGTCACAGATTAATTTTGAAAAAAATGTGTAACAGTTATCAGCTTTTATTCTAGTGGTGACAAGGATGACATCTATCAACTGATAGCTGTGTATATTTTGTACTGTACAGCCCAAAGGATTTTAAGTCCCATTACTTCATAGGAAAATTCTTTAATATGCCAAAAAATCACCATCGTATCTGACTGCCTTGCAAATGTTAGTTAATATACCTTCAACACTTTCCAGAATGTAGATGCATGTTTTTCATTTCACAGATGAGAAACCAACTTCAATAACTAATAAAATAATGACATAGATTATACATAAATCAATTTCAAATTTTAAATTAAACTGCTGCAATGGTCAGCTGAAGGTTTTTTTTTTTGTGGTGTTTTTTTTTTTTTTTTTTTTTCAAATTTACAAAATTTTCATTTAAGATACGCTAATTCCATTTAAACCAAAATATGTGTTCACTCTGCTTTTTCTAGTTATTAAACTAAATCAGCTAAATACATGTTAAAGCATTTGTGGTTATTCAAAGAATAAGATACATTATAGAGATTAATGATTCAATTTCAACATGTGTTTATTGAATCAACTTTATGGAAATTTCCACTCTTATTTCTGCAGGAATTAAGATGAAATACCAGTGGAACTTTGGCAGACTGTGCTTTTTACTGTACAAAGAAAACCAAGGTGCTTATGTGAAATATGTTTTTTTTTTTTAAAAAAGTTTTTATAAAATCTGACAAATTCAATTTCATTTTCACCAATTTCCAAAAGCTTCATGCAAGAGTACAAATTACAGTGCTGTCCAATTGCAGGCTTTAATCACCTATGAAATACTAAGGACATTAAATTATACTAATTTTATTTAAGAAGGCAATTTATTTCTGGTTTTATTTCTGAGTTTTGCCGGTTTGAAAACATCAAACTTGTTGCAGAGTTCATGTTTCTGCATGAATCCTGTTACACAGCTTCTTGCACTAGACTGGATGGAAATGCAAGGTGTTGAGGGTTGCCCAGCACCCCATGTTACAGCTAGCTCAGAGAGATTTTTTAAAAGAATTTTGGAAATACATAAGCAAAATCTACCATTCAGCTGCAAAGCACTACACTAAGCTGATGTCTATCTCTAAGGATTCCAGAGGGGTACCTTGTAAATTACTTATAAAATGTTTAATGAATAGAAGGTGTGACCTGAAATCTGTTATTTCTATGCCATACAATTTCTAAATTTTAACTTGTACATTTTTCTTGACATTAACCACATAAATGTTATGTTATTTCAATTAGAAACTTTAATAAAATTCAGTACAACAAGTTCTGCTATTGTTTAAAGTGGTGAGTCCTATGAATTTAAAGCTTAAAAAGTGGGGGGCTGCATCTGCAAGAATTGTCTGGCATTGAGTTTTGTTATTAATTTGGATTTCAGAGGTTTTTCCCATGATAAAACATGCATTTTCACCTAGAATAGTAGTAGTTAGGGCTATTGCAGCTCTTGTCGTCTATTGCAATGACATTGGCTGCTGTGGGAGAGGAGTGACCAAAGAACACGTTAGCTGTCTGGGCAAGCTGCAAATGACCTATCTTAGATAATTTCAGTCTCTACTACATGCATTTCTTGAAAATGTTTTCTAGGAGAGAAGGGTTTATATTTTTTCACTGGGAGATTCTTTAACTGTTCTGCTCAATTCTGCTATTTTCATTATAAAAGCACACTGTTCTTCCTCCAATTAATCTTTATATTCAAGATGTTATATTATGATTTCACTTATTGTGAAAGCTGCATCGGTCTTAAAAGGATTGCACATCTTTATAAATACAATATTCTTATTAAAAATAAGAATCAGACTATCGAGTATATCTTACATACTGTTCAGAACAATTTATATTAGCTAAGAAAGTGAGTCACAGTCAAGGCAGACCATTTCTCTTACAGTATGTGTGAGCTCCTGCAAGCATACTGCACAAAAGGAACCAAGAGCTGAAGAGTTTGTGCAGTTGGTTTGGTTTGTCACCTTCAGATGATGAAGTCACTTTTCTATTTAAAGTGTGCCTCTTTCTAAAGTATGTTCCTGTTGTGGAAAACTTCATGAGGGCTACACTTGGAAGACAATGTTGTCAGTATCACTTTCAGTACTCTCATAAATAAAATTATAAAGTGATGTTTTAAATATATTTCTCAAGGTATCCTTACCCTGGAGTTTAATTTTTAAGAAAGGGAGTCAGACAATAAAGCCACGGTGCATTCTGGTGCACTGTTAATCATGTGGTCAGTCATGATAATTTTGAGTTCACTGTGATCATAAGAGAATTAAGGGGCATATAGAAAGGGAGCAACTAGCAACTGAGATCTCCATTTGGCAGACCTGTCATCCAATAACAGGGAATACACTGAAACAGAGAGGACACAGGAGAAAAAAAAATTAAAAAAAAAAGAGGGAGGCCTGAAGTAGGAACAAGGGTTGAGTAAAGCAACATCTTTCTGTTGCTGTCATCAGGGGGAATAAAAATGAAATGAAATGAAATGAAATGAAATGAAATGAAATGAAATGAAATGATATAAAATAAAATAAAATAAAATAAAATAAAATAAAATAAAATAAAATAAAATAAAATAAAATAAAATAAAATAAAATAAAATAAAATAAAATAAAATAAAGAAGGGGGAGAGAGGGAGAGAGAGAGAGAGAGAGAGAGAGAGAGAGAGAGAGGGGGAGAGAGAGGGAGAGGTCAAGAAGACTAGGAGGAGACAAGGTCTGAAAGCAAATGGTTCACCTAATGTTGTTCCTCTGCTTCTGTAACTGCCCAGCAGGGAGACCCAGAAGGGGCAGAGGAGAGTAAGCATAGCTGTTTCTGGAAGCAGAAATATTTGAGGCAGTTTGTGAGTGGATATAAATGCATGTAGTTATCTGATTCCACAGTTGCAATCACAGGAGATTCACTGAGCAGTCAGAAAAGTCATTAAAAAAGCAGTAAAATATCATACAATAGGATCAGACCTCATACATGTTCAAAGTGTTTTGCACACACTGACTGAATAAACAGCTTTGGTCTGGGAATTAATGTTGTTACCTATTAGTTAGTTTTTTATTTTCTACTCAAAGTTTCAAAATAGGTTGGTTCAGTGACAGTTCTCCAAAACTGTACATTTATCTTCTGGTGATACGTAAAGCTAAAGCTGTGTTTAAGGGAAGCTTAAAATCCTGCTCTAGGAAGACAGTTTTGAAAGTCAATTTCTCAAACTAATTTCTCCACCCACTGAAATATTTAGCCTGGTTGTTACATAGCTATTTAAAATGCCTTATCCAGAAATATGCCTGGAAGGTAAAATAATTTAAAATGTAGGGAGAGAATACAACTTTCACACATAATGCAGTAAAAAAACATAGCAAAATACTGGGGGAAAAACAGAACAAAACAAAACAAAACAAAAAAAATCAACAAAACAAAACCAAAACCACCCAAGCCTTAATCCGCGTCACAGATGAAGACAATTGCATAACTATTTTTGTATTGCTGATGCTCATGAGTCCAAAGAGACAATATGTACTGAGAGACTTCCAAAGCTTTGGTTATAACACAGTTTTCCCATTTAAAAGCAAACAAATAACAAAAGCATCAACCAAACAAACTTGTGCAGGGAAGACCCCTTGCCAGGAAAGCTTTCAGCTCAGACAGCAGACATTCAGATTGATTATTACACTTCAAGACAGACTGAGAAAACCTCGTTGTAACATTTTTGAGTTGAAAGCACAAGCCTTTAATAACTAGCTGCTTTCTTTTTTAGCAAAACTGAGGTTTAAGTGCAAATCTTGCAAAACCTTGAAATTTTATCCTTATGAGATTACTCAGATACCAAAGATCACACCTGGAATGTGCATTTGCATGACCATATGGAAAGATTTCTCCTACAGCTACACAATTAAACTTAAAGAAAAATACCTCTGAATATTTTTGCATTTTTGTACTTGGGATTTCTTTACAGGCTACTCAGATAGTAAATCCTATGGTCCAATTTCCACCAAATTTAATATTTTTCTGTGTCTTTCAATCACAAGTTACTGACTAGACTTGACGATATGAGCAAAACTCTTGTGCTGTGAAAGCACTGAAATCTCAGCTTATTTCCTTCTTGAATTCTGGAGACAGCAAGCTATATAAAATTCAGATGCCAATTTCTGTTTGCACAGTGCCAGTAAGAACTGCCATGTTAAAAAACACAATAATAATAAATGAGAATCTGTCTGCCAAAAGGACAGCTAAGGATTTGGAAGCCAAGCCTGTTTTAGTGATTAAACTCATGAACAAACTTTGCTTTGTTTTAATTAGGTAGTGCTATAAAAATTGAGCCAATTTCCTCATCTGAAAAATGGACAGATCATTCATGATCTGATCCAATTCTAGGCCTCAAAAGCAGCCCTATTCATCCAGCCGTACATTATTAGACACTTAGAAAGTACAGATTTGAATAGGGGGTTTATTATCAAACTGAGTATTCATCGTAGCAAAATAGCTAGATCCTACCGAAGCAACATTCCTACATCATTAGCAACATTGCACCGGTTACACAACCTTCAAAAACTACTTTTAATCCATAAGTATAGAAATTACCCCAAATTCTTTCTTCTTCCCTCACAGGTACCTAAAACATTTACCTTTCCCCTCTGGACAGAACTCAAAGTTGTTAAATCTTCTTAAGCTGATGCAAGGAATTCCAGAACCCTTCCCAGACTGCGATTGTTTTTGCTATTAAATTCTGTAGTGCTGCTGCTTACATCTGCTATGAGTCAGTGGGCAGGAATGTTACTGAGGAGTCGCAGCTATCAACTCTGAATTGCAACATAAGAAGGAGAAGATGGTAATTTTGTGCCTGACACAACACTTCTGAAATAAAAATAGACCAAAAAGAACAAAGAATCATCCACTTTCTTTCATTGCTGTGATCCAGGAAATTGGTCTCAGCGTGACATTCAGCTTTCCTGAACCAGAACCTAAATCTCTGAGGCTTCAGAGCTATAGGGAGTTTATCTGACCTGACTGATGTAGAAGGAAAACACTCTCAGACTATAGGTTACAGTTTAGAGCTGATAAAATATAAAGAAATCTGCTTAAAACAAACTAATGAGGAAACCTAATACAGACAAAGCCAAAGGGAACAGGAAAAAAGGAAAAAGAATGCTGTTTGATGTAGGTATTTTTTATCTAAATTGGAAGGCACCCAGAAGTCTCAGTAACTTGGTTTGACACTATCATTTTCTTTGTAAGCTTGTTAGAGCCAGATGAATACAACAAATATATGTTGAAGATGTTATTTGTTTTGCATGTTTGCCTTCCTTCTGTTATGCTGGCTCTTTCCATACAGTTCAACAAATGAGAATACTTATCAGAATGCTTCTGGATGAAGTGAACTCTTAAGGAAATTGTGAACAAAAGCAATAAAAGGAGTTTTACATTCCACAGCTATAAATACCTGGCAGTATTTTTCTTTTCTCATTCTATTACATCCTAACTTCAAATTCTGAATTTCAAGTAGTTAATAAGTGGAATAAATTATAATAAATAAGATAAAATTATAATAAATAAAAATTCAATAGAAGTATTCAACAATTCATTGTTACTGGGAATCTTACTATGGCTAATGACTTTGGTAGGAGGGGGATACCTGTTGATAGTGGGACTCCCGACTTAGTTCAGGAAAGTATAGTGGGACTCACTGGGTGGGCTCTGGACTGAGAAAGTGGAAAAAGGCATGGTTATGTTAAACTCTGACTTAAAAACTGTAAACTCTGAGCATTCAAACAATTTATTGAGGGCTACAAGTAGATACTCCATCACTTCAAGTCTTTAAACAAAGATGGGATGGCTGAAATCCCCGGCTGTTTTTCAGTTAAACATGACTGAACTCAGAACAAGAAATTCGATATGGCATCGAGTCAGAGATCTGTATTCCAGAGGCTGCACATCATTGGAATGATTTTGCAAGAATAGACATTAAGTAGAAGACTCTTGAAGATTATACAAATAGGAGTCATATAAGCACAAAAGGAAAAGAGAAAGGTTTTGGAGTCTTTTTCTGACCTATCAGATATATCAAATACAGGAAACTGGCAAATGCCATAGACCTCAACATGGCCAGTAATGACCGACCTGGCTGTTCAAAAAGAACTTACTCGGATTTTCTCTTCTTGGGAGAGTTTGCACAGAATTAAAACTAAATATAGCAAGGATTGTTAATTACTGTTTTATCATTTTTTAAAAAGTATTTAAAGAATAAAATGCTGTTCCTCACTTTTACACTAACTCAATATGTTTATTATCTCCCATAAGTAGAGCAAAAACAGTTGTATTGAATATTTGTTCTTTTGTGGATGTTTAAAAGAAATAGCTAACAAAAGAAAGCTGTGCTCTTTGTTCCCATTATATTTCAGCCCTCGGCTGAGTACTTCCTGAGGTATTTTATCTAACAGAAGTTTAGCAGCTTGTAAAATCAGTAAACACAAGATAATGTGTTCATAATATCATCCTTTTATCATTCAGACTCAAAGGAAATTGCAAGCACACAAAAAACTTTAATAGTATACTGAACATCATTTTTCCATGATAAGCTCTAATGCAGGTGGTTAAACGCTATTTATAAAAGGTAAAGTTTTTTTGTTTTTTTTTTTCTCATGTGTATGATTCTTATCCAGGAAAGTTTTAGATCACCTTCAAATATCATGTAGAAATGTGGGAGGGTCAAAGATTGTACAGCCATGACATTGTAACTCAGTGCTTGCCAAAATGTTCTTTCATTCCATCTGTTATGAATTAATTTGTTTATGCTCTTCTCTGCATTTATTTTGTGTAATGCTAAGGATGAAACAGAAAGCATGTAACAGTCTCCATTCAACTGAATTAAGCTCTGCTGTGTGAAGGGTATATGATAGAGAAAGGACTTGCTCAAGATCTCAGTGCAAGAGCCAGGAAGAGAACACAGTCTGTAATCTTCTACCTTATTTACAAGAACAGCTCAGATACCTTGCCTTCTCTGAACTGTCTCCTTTCCCTAGGTTCCCGTTCACCTCAGTTTTTCTTTTTGTTCTCTCCAAAGACACCTTTCACCTATATTCTACCATGCAAATCATATCATCTCTGTATGTATATATATCACTGTAGAAAAGTGAACCAACTAATTTCTCTTCAGTATATGTCAACTGAGTCTTGTTTTCCATTGGCGCCATCTCTAACCAGCAGTACTAATTAAATCACATAGCACCAAATCTCTACTATTCCTCTTATCATCAGGAAAAAAAAAAAAAAAAAAAAAAAAAAAAAGGGAATGACAAGAGCAAATTTATTGGAAAAATGATCTAGGTTACAAAGTTATTTAAAACACTTCAAAGTTATTCCAGTTTCAAACCTTGCATCGTCATTGGAAGTGCCTGGTCATCATATTTCACTCAAGTACTTCTACAGAAAAAAAATATGGAAGAAAGCATCTACAACCCCTTCCTCTTAGAATGAACTCTCAAATGGTTGTACAGGACCTTTCATTCTCTACACTCAGAACCAAGGAAAATAAAAAGCTAATAATGATGGATTTAATTGCAAAATGGAAAAAAAAAAAATATCTGGGGCTGGGCAGGGAGGCAGGAGAACTTTTGATTCTGGACTTTTCTTTATAATATACAAAGGGTTTCCTTACTTCTTTACTTCTTTAGTATTCTTGTCCTTTGATTCAGCTCCGAGGGAGAAATTTATGAGGTATTTCCAACCTATGTAATCATTTAATCTTTGTCCTGATTATGTTTGTTGTTGTTGTTATTGGTTGGTTGGTTGTTTTCTTTCAGTCAAGCATGCATCTAGATTGTGACTCCAGAATTCTAAATAATGGGGAAGTGCCTAGATAATGTGATAATATACAATGACCATCCCAGATATTATAAATTACAAGTTGTGGCTACTCACTTTTCTAAGGAATCTGCAGATAAGCCTGTTTAACCCAAATCTGACATTTCAGAATAATGGAAGTATTTTTTGTTTCATTTTGGACTGCTTTTGTCAGCCAAGGAAGAAACTGAAGATGGTGCTACTGAACTGGAAACAGAAAAAAAAAATTTAAAAATTAGACTATATAACTAAGAGTGCAGTGTATCAAATGCAATGTTAAACTAAACAACAAACAAAAAGGAAAATTCAGATTAAACACTGGATCTGTAGGCTGTTCACAAACACTGTTTCATAAAAAATGGATCTGAAATTAGGAGTGGAATAGTGATTTATGACCTTGCTGCCTTGTGTGTTACAGAGACCTCCTTGAAAACGTCTTCAAAATGGGCTCTTCAAAGTGGACAATGAGAGTACTTATGGTCCTAGAGTTACAGATAAACAGTGGTTCTCCTGATATGTTTTGGTTGTGTAAAATGAGCATGTTTAATAAAACCAAACCGGTTATGCCTTGTGCCTCCACCTTGTCACTTTTTGAGCCTAAGGATGATCTCAGTCACTAGCATTTTGCTAGAATACTTGGAATGTGCATAGCAGCAAATATTACGGAGTGCTGAGATAAAAGCAGTGTCAAGTGGATTACCTTCTCCATCCTTACAGATTTTGGTAAAGGTTTACAACGGGGTCCTGTCAATTCTTCAGCCAACATGCAGGTGTTTTTCCAAGGTCCAAGCAGGTTAGCTATTTTAGCTAATTTTGTAACTGCCAGTTACTTTTTCCTTTATTGCTTCTCATGGTTATTATGTGGATCATCACAACTTGCTTTCTTCTTCACCAGTAATGAATTGCCTAATCCTTGGCTAGCCTAATGCTTGGTTTGGGGATATTCAATGCCAATGCCTCTGCCCTACGCCTGCTTAATATATTATCAGGTCCCACAGGGATAAACAGACACTTTATCTTCCTGTATAAATCAACTCAAAACTCTTTGCTATTGCCTTAAGAGAAAAACATCTTTCTATTGCAATGTTATGCAAAAACAAAAAACAAAACAAAAAAAACTTTAGTTTGGTGGCCAGATAGATGCTCTGCAGCCATATTATGGTAGTCTAAACATTTTGGGCCAGTTACATTTTTGCAGTAAAAGCATCTTTGTGACAAATCAGCAAAAAAGCTAACAATTACTGCTATTACTCAAATGCAGTGTTAATTACTGCTTTTGTTTCAGTGCCCCTAAAAATCTTTCTCCCCAGCTTCTCACATCTTTGCAGTCTCAGTTAAACTTTAAACCTTCACTTCTTTTTGTCTCTAGTCCTTATATGCCTGTGTTTATTATTATTATTATTGTTTTTTGGCTTTCTTTTCCTTCACCCCAGAATAATAAAGTAAAATTAACAAGATAAGGCCAGCAGATGCACAAGCAAAAATCATCATGTCTATGACATAGCTTTCAATACTAATTAAGTTGGACTATCTCAAAAGATAATCCAGTCAGTTTCTGTGAGGGTGCATTCATTAGTATGTCTGCTGATGGCAGCACTTATAGCAGAGATCTTTGTAGGAGGAATTAGTTACTGTCAGTCTAGAGGCTCATTAGTGTTGACATGGGACTACCCCCAAAAGGTATGTTTAGTTTTTAATTAACAAGACATTCTTCAAGCCATATTGTTTTGGCTCACAATTTTTCCCAAATCCTGAGATGTTATTTTATAGCAGTAGTAGAGAACCATCTACAATAATGCTTCTTGCAGATCTAAGGTTCCTTATTGCACATTTTTTTTAGTCTACCACACACAATAAAAAATGATATTGAGCAGCTGGTACTGTTGTATTTCTTTGAAGCACCTTTTAAATTATTTTTTATTTCTATTTTTTATATGGTAACAAATTTGCAGCCAACTCCAGAAGAGGGACAGCAAAATAAAAAGAAGAAAAAAATTATTCTCCAAATGTCAAGTGGGAATCAGAGTGATGATAATTTAAGCTTCTGGAAGAGCCATACTACCAATATATCACATCCTATATTAAGGATGAGAAAATACAGTTTTGATACATAGAAGAGTACAATAAAGATATTATTACTAAAACATTCTAATATCTATTTAATGTATTGGTTTTCCTTAAGAGCATATTATATTTTTATGTAAGACTTTCTTTTTTTTTTTTCAAGAAACAAAGAAGGAGCTGTATTTTAAGAACAAACCACAGTGACAAAAACAATTGTAATCACTGTATTAAGGCATTTTTTTACCTCTTAAATTTTGCTTCCACCTGCTGGGCATTGAGAGGTATGCCACTGTGACAATAGCATCCTGCCAACAGCAACATTGCCAGTACTGTGCTGAATATCCAGACATGGTACCTGAGGCCAGGATAAAAGGACGTTTTTTTAACTTTTATAATACCATATACACTATATTATATACACACTATATAACTTTTATGATACTCTAACATTATAACTAATCAGTTGCAATTACAACTTTAAAAAGCTGATAAATAAGAGGTGGAGCTTCAATGCAGATGAATTATATCTATTCCTTATATGTAGAGTGTCCAAACGGTTGTTGTAGAATTTCGTTAAAGTGCTTTCTCTTATGGATATGCATGTTGCAATGTTTCTCTTATGCATGTTGCAACGGTAGGAATGTGAGCAAAATGCTGTGCTGACTGACAGGCTTAGCTCACCTTCCACACACATCTGGTGCTGTCCAGAGCTATTCCTTTGATGCCAGGGCATTTGCTGGAGAAAATATTTTTATTGAAGTATTTTTGTTTCACAGATTTTTTTCCAGTGATTTTGTTCCCTTTCTAAATTAGAGAGGGATTGATGTGCCATCTAGATTTTTGCTGGAGCAAAAAAACATCGGCACAAGTATTAATGACTGGGGATTTAACTCTACCTCCAGGTGGTATCGGTAGAATGCCTCTAGCCCACCACGAACCTGGAGCATTGCTCAGATCCTTAATGTTTCTGCCTTGGAGCCCAGCACAATGCATATCCTGAAAACGGTAGCTTCTTTCCCTTGTTCTGACAATTGGACCACGATGACTGAAATACAAATCCTATCAGCTTTTCTGAAAAAGAAATGGAAAATAACAGTAAATGATGGCATAAATACTACCAAAAAACAAAAACAAACAAACAAACAAACTAAAAACATTTTAAAAAATAGGTAACCCTTTTTTTGTTTTTCCCTATTTTTTTTCCTCAGCAAAGTTTTGGGAACCCAGTCCTGTAAACTGCAAGCCCTAAAGCAAGTCGCTAAGAGCGTGCAGTAGCAACGCAGAAAAAGTAGAAAACGACCAGAAACTGACTGAAATGACCTCCAGCTTCCCCTGCTCTATTTTTAGCTGGGAATTCCTGGAGGAGACCAAACGAGCACAGCACTGCGTGAGGCGAAACTGCCGTAAATAAAGGCTCCGGACGTCATCTGAGCCTCGTGGTTTTGACGTCGTGATTTTACTAGTCTTCTTCCAGTCAGGTAAAATCGTTTATAGAGCTCATCACAGTTTGCGTATTTTATTTTAGGAGCAAAACGAGCCCGACGCCTCAACGGCGGCCCCAAGCCAGCTCCCGCTAAACCCGCCACCGCGCTGAGCGCCGCCCTGACTGGAAAACTACACCTCCCAGGAGGCGTTGCGGCCAGATAGAACGAGCGCGGGCGCTCTCCTCGCGCGGTGCACGCTGGGACTTGGAGTTTCAGCCGTCCCGCCCTTCCACCGCGCTGCGCAGGGCTCCCCTCCCAGAGGCGCGCAGAAGCGCGGGAAACTCCGTCCTCCGCGCCCTGACGTCACGTAGCCCGGCCGGGGCCGGCGCACCCGCAAGCGCGGAAGGGCACCTGCGAGCCGCGTTACCACGGCAACGGTGCGGATCCCTCCGCCTCGCCCGCCCGCCTCCCGCACTGTGGCGGCGCCTCCAAGATGGCGGCGGCGGCGGTGGTCGGGGCCGGGCTGTGAGGCCCCGCGGGCAGCGCCGCGCTCCAGAGCCCGCCGCTGCTGGAAGGCGACGCCCGCGGCCGGGGCCGGGGCAGGAGCAACGACCGGGCCCGGGGCCGCCGCCCCTCCGCCGCGGGGTGAGGCTGTGGGGCCAGGCGGGGGCCGCCCGCTCCGCTCTGCGCTGCCCGGCGGCGGGAGGAGGCCGCGGGGCGGGCCCCGGGCTGGCTGAGGGCACGGGGGGCTCTTACCGGGTTTTTTTATAGCTGTTGCCTTTCTCCAGGCGAAGTTGCAAGCTGAAGGGTTTTTCTGGGGGGGTGTTGCAGCGGGGGTGAGTGCTGTTGGGAAGACGTGCCGGCGGATCTGGTGCAGATAAAAATACTGGAAAAAAATAAATAAAAAATCTAAATTTATATCTTTATTATTAAATCCTGTGATACTTCAGAGTAGTTTTTATATTGCTGCAGCATGCACAAAATGTGTGTGATCCTAATCGCTCTGGCAGGTACAAGTTTTGACCATAATCTGCCCTGTTACCTTATTTTTACTGTAATAAATGTACTTGAGAGGATTTTATTATTATTATTATTATTATTTTCCTCAAGTTCCTGATAATTATTGTAAGGCAGCATGCACACGCTCAAGCACAGCTTTTGTGCAGATTCCCTAATGTGCAAGGAGCTAAGATTGCGATCGGGTTGCTGGATGCAGGAGTGGGATGATGGGAGGGCACCAGGGCTCTTAGGAGAGGATTTCATCCGGCTGGGGAAATGTAAAGGAAGGCAGACCACAAATCGGTGAAGTGTGGGGGAGAAGAGGCACAGCTGCTTGTGTGAGAGTTTTATTTCGGAGAAGAAAGCTGGCTGAGCTTCCATGTTATTATAACTGAGGTGAAGAGAGAAAATGAAGAGAGAAAATAAGCCCATTTGAATATAACTTATTTGGAAACATGAGGAACGGTAATATGAATGCTTAGAGACTTAGTGTCTGAGAAGGACGTGGTTCTGTTAATATATTTTTCTTAAAATTCACTTGGTGAAAGTAATCAGGTTGCTGTTATTTTTGAGCTGTATTTAGTAGAATACTAAATTTAGTAGAATACTCAATACTAATGAGTGAGCCTGGGGTTCTTATTTGAGAAAACTTTTCCGAATATTGCATCTGTGGTAGTGAACTTACTTCATAAGTGATTAGAAACTCTTAGAACAAGGATAGGTGAAAACAGCTTTTGTGGAAATTTTCAATGAAATAAGTGTGAACGTTTATTTGTATTATGTGAAGATAAATACTGCCGCTTCTTGGTTTTGCATGGAAGGTAGGAAAAATCACCTTTGCTACAGTTTCAGTAGAATTATATAAGGGTATTACAAGGAAACGGCTTACTGAATTTGGCTGTGAACCCAGATGGTCTCCGAGCTTGTCAAGATGAACTCATTGTGCTTAGCGGTGTAGGTCAGGTTGGAGTGCCAGTGGAAATGTCGGGTCTTGCACAGCTGAACAGGCCTTCTGTAACTGGAGAAAGTGTTTATAAAACAGCTGTTGCTAAAATAAGCTAAATTGATAACTATGTTTTTGCTTTGAGTGCTTGTCAAATTTGCCTGGAGTTGGTGGGAGAGTTTCTCTGTGAACTGTTCCTAGGATAGTTGCATTTCCACGTGTAAACAAACACGCTGTGTAAGGGCATCATGTTTTTATTTTCTAAATTAATCTGACAGTTCCCCTGGATGAAAGTGGCCCAGAAGGTGTGTTTGTATAGATCTGTCTTGGTTTTGCTCTTGGCATGCCTTGGCTTTTATTTGCTTTCCTGAAGCCTACAGCTAGAGCTTATAGAGCCATATGACTAGCCAGACTGGAGAGCTGATCCACTTATCTCATCTGGGTTTTTTTGCTTGTTTGGTTTGTTAGTTGGCTGGACTAGTTTATAGGTGGTACCCTCTGATTGCTTGGACTTGTGAATGCTTGTGGTGGGACAAAGAAGGGATATGGATGGGTGTGCCAGCGCAGTGGGGCTCAGATCTGCCACTTTCCAAAGTAGCAGGCGGTAATTATACAGGTATTGTGGTTCTGATTGTGGCTGCAGAAGCTGAATTGCTCCTGCAGTGTGTCAGCGTGACTGAGGGTGATCCACTGCCAAGTGGAGAGGTGGTTGTGCTGGGGTGAGCATGCCTTGTAGATCCCATTTTCTAAATGGTGTAGCAGTACTAAGGTGTGTTTGCATCCAAATCCTGCTTTGTGCAATTTCATCTACTGTTGTTAGCTGTACGGTGTGATTTTGGTGAAATACTATATATATAAATGACTTAGGTATACTAGTGCAGCCTTTTAAATGTCAGCTTCCTCCCCATCCCCCATCCTGGAACTGATTATAAAGATGTTTCTTAGATGCTGCATAAAATTTTGAGTTTTAGGTGATTTCTTCAGCTGCATGCTGTGAAGTCTTGGTGTGAAAATTCCTACTAGATAGGATGTAGAAAAATGCTTAGAAATGAACAGTCAATTTTCTGTGTTTTTCAGTTAAAGATACAATGGCGATCATGGGCTAATACTGTAGTTAAACCTTCCTGGAGAAAGTATTTACAAGATGGTCTCTCTTCTACCTCTGTAAAGAACTTTGTGTTGTAAAGCTGTTATGAGGAGCAAATTTGTAGCTGTGAGCACTGGACCTGTGTGAGTGGTAGTTAGGATACACAGCTCTTGTTGCAGCCTGATGGTACATACAGCTAGGTATTCTGCCTCCTGTTGAGCAGGGTAATCTAATTTTTGTGCTACAGAGGAATACTTTGTTTCTGACCTTTCAGCTTTAACAATTTTTAAAATTCCTGTTTGTGTCAAAACTAGTAGAGGATGTGAGAATTCCTAAGGTATAGGTTGCTTAATCTGCACAGAATGAGACAGTTAATGAGAACAGCAAAGCTCTAGGAAAACCATTTATTTACCTAGAAACTATTATGTAAGTGGCATGGCATTACCAGCTTAAATACCTTAACCTGTAGTAAAGAATATAGCAAACTTACTGTTGATGTCCATTTTCTGTGTGTTGTATTGACGTGCCTTGCCTTCGGTGCTCTGTCAGCTTCTTAATATTGAAACAAATTCAGAACTTCGACATCCAGGAGGCAACTTTGGAGGTCGAGTATCGAATAGACACCACTCTGGACCTGAAAGTGCAGGCTTGATGAATCCCAGAGTAGTCTTTGCAAGCTCTCTGCAGTGTACTTTTAAAGTGAGGAATATTGAGATCCTCAAACATAGTTTGTTTCCTAAGAGCAGTGATTTAAAAGGAAAAGCAAAAGGGGTGTAAAAAAATACACACAAAGCTGAGCAAAATGCATGCAAGCACATAAAACCAGCACTCCCTTCACACAGCGTCTTGATTAATTTTTAATGCCAGTATCTGTTCTTCTCTCTGTTACATTTTTATGTACACGGGTTTTAGTTTCCTAAAACAAGTTTGTGTTTTCATTTTATTACAAATACGTAGTTGTCATCTCAGATTAGAGATCATAATGTAAAATATTCTATATGAATGGATTGTAATGTAGCCTATTCCTCTCAACTATTTCTTTTAGATTCTTTTTAGTGGGTGCTTATCATGGCAACGGGAGGTGGTCCATTTGAAGAAGGCATGAATGAGCAGGACTTGCCCAGCTGGAGCAATGAGAGCCTTGATGACAGGCTGAACAACACGGTATATTTCATCTTAGGTCTCGGTTGTCGTTTTATGCTGTATGTTAAAATTAGTAAGTAGATTCTGTTACGCAGGCAACAATGGAAAAAACTAAGTCTTTTCAGTACTTCTCAATTTCAAAAGTTCTAAACTGCTTAAGAGTCTTTGCCAAAGAAGAGATACAATTTTAGCTTTATTGTAAGCTAATTAAATGCATAGCAAGATGGTACAGGTTAAAAATTTCCAGACAAGCTATTCTGAATTTAAGCAATGGAAAAAATGATATTTTGTAATGTGACATTTGCTCTAGGAATCTTAGTAGCAGCGCATGTTTTGGTATCACTCTTATTTTTAAAAGAGAAGCAAAATCCCTTTCACTGAATTAAACATTTGCTATCCACACAGACAGAAAGTAAATATGACTACTACTTCCTTTCATTTCCTTTGCCTTAAGGACTGGGGAAGTCAACAGAAAAAAGCAAACAGATCATCAGAAAAAAACAAGAAGAAGCTTGGTGGAGACGCAGAAACGAGGCTTACTAATGATATATCTCCAGAATCTTCACCTGGAATGGGACGACGGAAGACCAGGACTCCTCATAGTTTTCCTCATGCACGATACATGACCCAGATGTCTGTTCCAGAGCAGGCTGAACTAGAAAGACTTAAGCAAAGAATAAACTTCAGTGATCTGGATCAGGTTTGTGTGAATACTAGCTTCCACTGTAAGTGTGACTACAAAAATGAATAAAGAAAGCTTTCATAAGCAACTTAGATTTAAAAATAAATAAATCTCATGTTCTGTGGGAGCCAAATCACAGCTCCAGTTCTGAACTTGAGGAAACTGGAAAGTTGAAGACCATGGCTTTTCTATGCCTGAGGGTATGCCATCAGTCTTTACTTTATTTGTCTCAATTATTAACAAATGTCTGTGTCCTTAAATGAGTATTTATTACTCATCATACTTGTCTGCCACTTGGAAATGTCTGTTATCTTATTTGAAAGTATGTTCTTAAAGTGACATAGTTTGTGATTCTGACCACTGCTATCCTTGTGCATTAAGCAGAAGAGCAGCATTAAGAATTGCTGCTCTGTAGTACAGCGAGAAGCACATCATGAATTCTTGAGCCATAACTGTTTCTTTGGGAATATTGGCATGTTTAGCCTTCCCTTGTCCAAAGCAATGGGAAGTGAGGGATTATCTCACTGTCAACAGAATGATAAATTTGTCCTAACAGTTTCAGAATAGAGGTTTGTTAATTTTTACTAAAGCTTGCTGTTAACTTGTTTGGGTTGTGAAGAATATCTATCAAACGTGATTCATTGTTTTGACTTAGACTATAAAAACCAGGCAGAGCTGCTTCCAGAAATGTATGTTATTGGAACAAGTTGGTGTTCAGAAGTTTTTAAAGAAAAGCTAAAATATGAGATTATATTTTGCAAGTTTATGCTGTTCTTGTTTAGTTTTATGATTCTCTTAAATACCTGGAGAAGTAGGATGCCATTCACTATAGCAAAGGCGGAGGCCACAGCAAGGTTGAGGAGCTGAGCTTTGTGTGGGACTGCAGATCCCTTCCACTTCTCAGCTGTTCTGGGAGGGTGGGCTGCTTTCTGGAAACTATGACAGAGACCACTGGCATGGTCTTGATTAGCGAAACTAATCAGAGCTGAGAATATATTGGAGAAAAAATAAAACAATTGTTCTTTGTTTTGTTTGTTTATAGAGAAGCATTGGAAGTGATTCTCAAGGCAGGGCAACGGCTGCTAACAACAAACGTCAACTTAATGAAAACAAAAAACCATTCAACTTCTTGTCACTGCAGATAAACACTAACAAAAGCAAAGGTCCTGCGTCAGATTCCCAAAAAAAAGAAAGCGGGATACCGTTGCAATGTAAAGAGTTGTTTGAAGCTGCTCTAAGTAAGGATTTCTTGCAGAATTGTCAACTCTCTCATCAAGAAGATGGAAGAGGAGAACCAGCTATGGATAGCAGCCAGGTACTTGCTTAGCCTGTAAGGTCTACAGAATAAGCACTCTTCAAAAGGTTTTACTGACCCTATTACTTT